GCTCGTCACGGAGACTAACCTCGCAATGGGGAAAGCGTCAAGCCGTAGCGGTTCCCCTTTTGGGCGCTGCGGCAGCCAAGCGCGCTTCTCGTTGGCCGTGCCAAGTCAAACAAGGCCGCCCCTCTTATAATTCACCCCCTTGGCTGCCCATCCTGGATTGGTAGGCCCTGGCAAAGTCGATCCTCCCCCTCCAGGGCTCCGTCGTCCTTCCTCTCCCCTCCACTAGCGCCGGTTTCGACCCTGTCATTTCGACTAAATCTGTAACATCAAAGTCCAGCGCCTCATGGCAGAAGAAGAGAAGAAAAAAAAAAAACAAAAAAAAAACGAAAGAGGACTCCATTGATTGTCAGCTTCTCATCGTCCTCGCCCTCGTCCATGGTCGAGGTTCAACTTGGAAAGCTCCAGTGCTCCACATAATGGTCCACGTCGGCTGCCCACTTCGCCCAGTCTCAGTCGCCGTCTCCTCGGAGTTTTACCGTCGAGGTTGCTGTAACCGTACCTTATCTCAGCAACCATCTGCTGTGTCTCACAGCCCTTTTCTCGCCTCTTCCTTGCTTGTTGCTATTCGCGAGTCGCCGTTCGCTTGTCCCAGTATCAACTTGTACGCACTCTCCGGCAGCTTGTCTGTCTGTACTCAAATATTCAGCCGGTCTTGTCCCGTCACGTCTCTAGACCGCAGCTATCCCGATCAGGCTCTAGCCGCAAAGCCCCCTTACCTCAGCTTTGCTGCCAGGGTTAGGTGGCCTTGAAGCTGTCAAGTCAAATACCCTGTCGGGCCTCGCGAACTGACGGTTATGTGTCTGTATGTCCTAGTCTATAGCAAGGTGTCTGTCAGTCCCTCGACCCTGAACCTGCTCGCTCAGCAATCAACGCAGACTGCTGAGGAGTCAGATCCTCGACCTCGACCCTCCCTCTTGTGAATCGTATGCCCTCAACATAGTATCGAGTAGTCTTAGGCTCTTGGCCTTGTCTCCGTCAGCACTCTCGTGAGTCTCGTCGATACTCTCGTCGTCAGCAAAGGTCTTGACCCTACGCTATACCTCTGGGCATGCGTCGTCCATATTCCCTCCTTTCTCCTCATTGTACAAATTCCAAAGTCTCTGGTATACAAATCTCCAAACTTGTGCAACCCTCACAATCGTACGCTCTCAAATCCCAACCCCGGGCCATGCTTGTAAACCCAGGGATGCAGCCATCATGTACAGATACGCTTTGCATCCGCAGCCTTCACTTTTCAACCCATCCTCTAGTCCTTCTGTCCCTCCCTCTCCCCACCCCCTCGAGCTTCATCAAGTCTCTTATTCGCAGACGTCCCCCGTCATCGACTGGTCCAGTCTGTACCCACTCATCCCGGGGGGGGGGGGGGGTGAAGCTTTTTCAATCTCGTCAACCATCATGACGATGTCGCCGCTGTCACTACCGATTGCCGTGTGCCGTCCCCTCTTTCTTGGCATCCCTGACCTCCCATGTGCTTTTGTCTTGCTTTCCCTCTCATCCGTACACGGATAACGGTACGACTGAGCAGTAGCACACCTACCTCAAATCCATCTGCTCCGAGGCACCTAGCACGGGACGGGGGGCGTCAGGGCGATGCACGGAGGCCCCGATCTTGACGTGAGCATAACTCAACTTACCTCTCGCCACTCATGACTTGCGGCTCGGCCAGCACGGTGTTACAGTAAAGGCCATGCGCCGTGATGCTTTCCTTCCTTTCCCCCCACCACAAATAACAGGCGCCGACTGGCTAATCGACGACGTCAATGTAACACAACATTTGCATCTTGGCCTGCTGAGCCACCGTCATACAATGGACTCGTAGTCTGGAGATATTGTCATTCAATGCGCGAGAAGCAAAGCTGATCCTCTTCAGTACATGCCGCGTCAAAAGGATTGGGCGTCATGCAGAAACGTAAACAATTCCAACGCCGCCGTCTCTTCAGCGACGTTTGGTCGAATGCGACCCTCGAGGAGGTCCTTCGCCCTAGCTCACGAAACCGTTGAAACCGTGCCCTCCCCTCCCTCCCTCTCCCCAAGCCTGGGGTTAGACTTGGGATTGTCGCGGGAGATTGACGGACGTCTGTGGTATCGTTTTGGCATGCCGTGGGAGTCGAAAGGGCAATGCGGAGAACGGACCAGAAGGGCAAGCCCAGGCCGGCCGTGGTGGTGGTGGTCGTCGTCGTCGTCCGAGTCGCAAACACCACCGTCTGCCCCCCTCGGCCTCAGACATCTCATCCCCCTGCTGATGCTGATGCCACCACTGCACCCCATCTGTCAGATGTGTTGCTTTCCCCAGCCCAGTGCAGCGCAGCATTCGGTGGGAAATCTTGACGATCTCTCGTCGCAGGAACCCAAAAATGAAGGCCAGAGAGAACGTGCCAGGGCCATCTCCCGTCGTGCAGTGTCGGTCGTCTTCGAGACTCCCCCAGGGGCCAAGCAAGCAACAAGGCTTAGCTAGGTAGGATGCATGCAGGGAGTCTTGTCTTGTCGACGGTACGAATGCTGCAGGTATCTGTAAGTGATAATGTCAAGTGACACAATAGCCCGCAATATCTCTATGGCCCGTGGCATCAATTCGTATTCGACACTTTGATGTTAAATGTCTTGCACGACGGGCTCGAGACAATTCATCAATTGGACGCCGGCTGGCAGAATATCCAGCTCATAGATGTTGCGAGGTTCCTTGCTTAAAGTCGATCGGCAAGGTTGCTTCGCCCTCTACCCTATTTTCGACGTTAATGCGCCCAGACCGAATGGCAAGTCAGCAAAGCCCCCTGGACGACCACCACCGAGGCTATAGTCGATGTATTCCTTTACAGAGTACGGAGTACCGCGGTAGGAGTTCTGTAGTGAAATTCACTTTGCCGTGCGTAAACTTCCGACGTCGACTTCATTTCGAGCCGCAAGGAGATCGTCGGCCGGGGCAGAGCCGTTCGCTGGGCCGATTAAGGTCAAACCACCCCGCCGCCCCGAAATGAGGCGAAAGTGAGAGCGGCGGGCTGCCCGCACGATCCGCATAACGGCTTCAACTCTATCCGGCGTTGCCAACGCGGTTCGATAGAGTATCTAGCACTTAATCTGGAGGCCCGGCTGCGATGAACTCTGACACCTATCGTGGCATTCATAGTTCGTTCGGGAGGCCTGTCTCAGAGTCTCAGTGCCTGCTGGTGGTTCGAAGTTCGAACGGTTGTCCCCGCTTTAGGAGGATGAGCAGACTGAGAGATGACTCGGACGAGAGATATTCCCCTTGGAGTTTAGCTCGACAAAGCACCGTCCACACCCTCTAATTATGTCCCGCACGTCTTTCGTAATCTGGCGTGCGTCGACAGCGTTGCCAATCTTTTAGGCTATGTCGCACGAGAGAGGAGCCAAAAAGGCCGCGCACGTTCGTTCAATCTCGGGAGGCTCCCATCTCGGAATGGAGCGATCTCCCATGCGCTCTTGGGGCTCATGGGTTCCAGGTTCATACGAATAGCGGTGGTTTGCTGGCGGACATGAGCCTGCGTAATTGTGCATGCGCAGGAGGGTTATGCAAGGCCAAGGCTGAGTTGCTCAACGTTGTATCCGCGTAGTCGCACACAACGGCTGTAGTGTACTACTGCACCATTGCCTGCCCGTGGTCGTACCTTGTATGGTTTGTCTAACAGCCAAGCCTTTTCAGCGTGCGATTAGAAACCAGTCAGAGACTCAAAACAGCCCCTTCCTAGGAGACAGGCAGACAACACACGGTCCACCGAGTGTTACTGTTAGGCAGTATGACTGCTGAAGATGCAGCAGACGGCCTTTTCGGGATGCGGGAGGGCATTCCGCAGCCTAACGATTTGCTTTCTGCACGCATATTTTCTTCCTTTTCACCGTACAGCTGACGACTGCGCGCTTCAACTTCGTTTCCCGTCTGTTTGGATCCTGTGGAATGTTTGGACGTACCACGCCATGTGGAAGCGATACCAACCGACGTCGGCCCAAAGTCGATGGCGACATACGGATACGTGAGTAATGGTAGGCTTGGCCCCGCTGCATCAGTGCTTGTGCAAGACTCACTTGCATCGCATCGGTTGATCGCCTTGTCAGACCTGAATATGCCATTGTGATAATCCCTTGGATCTTCAATGTTATTCTCACAACGCTCAGGCTCGCGATACGAATACTTGGGATGCCTTCTGCATGTGGCCAGCCCTAGAGCATGACTGGCACGTCCCTGCCAATGAGTCTTAACCGAGCCGATGGATGATAGAACCTGGCAAAGCTACTGCGTACAGACAGGATAGTGACCGAGAGGTTCCCAGCGGTGAGGGTACTGTGATTGAGATAGATTAATAGATAGCAATAATTATGCCATGGTCCATGGGCCATGGTCCATGGGTGTTATACATAGACAAGGCCCATGACGGAGGCGAAGGGCTGGTTTTTTTTTCTTTTTTTTTTTTTTTTTTTTTGCGCGGCTGAAAGGGGGTTCAACTGCTGCCCCACCAAGGTATGAGGGCGTGGTGCGTGCAGCGTGGGCCAGGCGAAGCCATCGACGAGGATGTCGTCGAGCAGAAAAGTGACGACCCAACCGGAAATTTTGAAACGGCGTGGCGTGGAGGTGATATCCGTGCTTGATTGGCTGCAGACTTGGACATGACAACGGATGAAACATCGACGGCCCTTGACAAGTCGTGCGTCTCGAGACATGCAGGGATGAGGCCCGTCTTAGATTCGCCCAAGTTGTGGGAGGCCCCGGCCGAACAGGGGCCGCATGGAGACGCCGTGGAAGACGGATGAGGTGAGGAATGCTGCTTCAACAGCCGCCCGTGGTCCCCTGCGCCACCACCCCATCCCATAATAACAAAGTACGGCTGACATCTAGCCTATTTGCCCTGTATCGACTTGAATGACAAGCAGTAGACAGGCATGTACTTGCTGGTTGTTCCTCTGCCTGCCTGTGAACCGTGGACCGTGGTAGTCTGCTCGAGTCTTGACAGGTCAGGGTGGACCTGCGGTTGTGCTCAACGTTGGCTTCGATGCGCTGGTGGGACAAACCACCAATAAGCGCCAAACTGCTGCGAGGCTCAGGACCTTTCGGCCTGTTGGTGTTGGTAAGCGACATTCGATGAACCCCCTTCCTTGGCTCCTCCTCTATCAGTCCACTTCGGCCCCCGACACCGCCGTGAATTTGGAAATTCGAGGAGTGGCGCATCCCCCGTTACGATGCGACTCTGCAGACAAACATCGCTCGCTTGTCTCTTCGCTTCGATGATATCGAATTATTGATTGCTTCTAGACTCGGGTCCGGTCTTTGTGAGCTCATCGTATCCGCCATGACATCCCAGACCCGAAATAAGGTAATCAGGAATCCGGGAAATGTTATTGTTGGAAATTCGACCAGTAACTCGGCCCACGAGGATGAGCCGCGGCGTATGTAGGGCTCCCGCTGTCTCCGAATCAGAGGATGCTGCTCCTCACCTTCCGAACAGCGGGTATAGGAATAACAACTTGCATTGATCAGCGCTTCGGAAATCTTGAAATCTCGACCGTAACTTCCAAAATTCCTTGGCTAGGCTTGCAGCTAGCCCCAGTTGTGTGTGCGTGCGTACCTGTCGATCCCTGACGGAGGGCTCCAAGTTGTCAGCTGGCCCGCCCCTAAATCGAATTCTCCAGAGCCGCAGGCAATATCGAATGAACATTGTGACTTGGCTACAATCCGATGTACCAGATGGTCCGTACATCTCTCTTTCGCTTGTCGCAGGTACACTTGAGACCACTTCAACGTTATCGGGGCCGGTCTGTGGTGCGAGTGTTTTCCGACTGTACGAGTGTGGTGGTCACCAGCGCGGGTTTCTTGACGCCCTGGCAAGTTTCAATAAGAACATACTCCAAACTGCATCAGTCGTCATCGGTCATCCATCATCAGGCTGTCGTGTCCCGGAGTGGGCGCGTGTCTCTCCGCTTGTTCGTCTCGAGATGTTGAATAGGCATGTTGATGCTCCCCTGCTCGAACACCGCCAAGACTTTTGGGATGTCGCTCTCGGGGATGGTTCCATTACTTATTGCACCTCGCCTATTGTCATCCTGCTGACAAAACTTCGAAGTGAGCCACTGCGTGCGCGTTCGAGTACGAGAAACGTTACCGAATTCTGGGGACACAAGCAGCTCGTACCGCACATCCGACGATTGGTGCCGCAGTAAGGGCGTATTTCCACTGTCCTGGTGTCAGAGTGCAGGACATTACGCAATTCGATGTTTGCAGATGCTGTAGATCATGTTTGTGATTCGATATCAGTGCGTGAATATGGCAACAGCCCGGAGCCGCCGCCAAAGGCCTCGTCGGTCGCCATGCCGTTTGCCGTTCGCCGGTGAAGAAGCTGCTTCCGCCGCAGGTTCCAGACCAAATCATCTCCGTTGCCCGCCGCCATTCCGGCCGCGCGGGTGTGGCCACTGGCCATGTCTCGGCTCTCCCCCACCGGGCAGAGCCCCGTGACATCGCATCCCTGGATTCGGCTCATCCGCCGTGCGCCTTGGAAAGTCAATCTTTATTTTGCTATTAAAAGAGTCGAGACACGTGCAACCCTCCACAATCCGAGAATGCAGGGTCTGATGCTTCATCTCAGGGCGATCTGTGATCCGAACGAGAGGCTCTGAGGCGGCTGGCATGCGGACGTCGGCAAAATCTTGCAACGGCTCAACACGTGTCGTTTCAATAGCATTGTTAGACTTTGCTGGGCGTTTACGCCGAGAGGACGATCAATCAAGAATGCGAAATGCGAAATCCGCGCCTGGGACGATGTTCGACTCAGGCACGCTTGGGAGTCGGCGTCCAGACTTGGCGATGCTCGAAGCTGATTTCAAATTCCGAATGCTTGGACGTTGCAGCCAAGCCTGCAAGAGTCAGTCCGAGGCTCTGCGGCAATGATAAAGAGACGTCTCCCGCACCGCCTGCCCGCAACTATAATGGCCTGCCTCGCCTTGGCTTTCCAATTCATTCGCATGGCCTAGGCAGCATTCCTGAAGTCGGTAGTCTTGCCGAGAATCGCTGCCAATATGGCCCGGTCCGGATTCGGTCTGATAATCATCGGAAAGTATGCCCTCGACCACGGCTCGGAATGCGGCTATCTGCTACCTGGGTAGGAGGCTTGGTCAGCCAATTGACTGTATCAAAGCATCAGCGGCAAGCTTACAGTACAACTCCATGTTGCCACGACATGGAATCAAGGTTAAACTCTGCTGACCCCTCAAGCTGAGTCAAAGTCTCCGCGTGACCTTTTGCTCAGGAAATAGGTTGACTTCAGCAATAGCCATGCCTGCTGTAGAACAAGTTGAAACGGTGGAAGATTGACGAAGGCCACCCGAGCAACTCAATTGCTGGTGTTTCGTCGTGATACAGGACCTTGGTGTAAGCCTTGTGGACAAATTTCATCGTCCATGTGCTATTGGCATCTCAAGCATCCGTGGCTGCACGGCGTCAAGTATAACGACGACACTAGATGGAGGCGTAGCCTGCAGTCTGTATCATCTATGCCATGAATCCATGGCACAGGTTGCGGTGATATCTGCGAGGCTAGGGAGCAGCAGTTCAACGAAGGACCGTCCAATGACGTGATGAAGCCGCAGTCCATTGTCAGGTCCAAAGTTTATGCATCGGTCAAAGGTGGGATGTATGACTAGGTACACAGTAGACGTTGTTACTTCGTCGGTCTTTCCGTTGCTTGAGTTCAACGTAAGTATGTGCTGAGATAAGCAGGCAATGGAATCGGGCATTTTGTGAGTGGGCCCCCGACCATGTGACTGGCAGGGTACCTTAGCGATAAGCCAAGATTGTGCGATAAGGTCGCTCGATAAGACACCTCGAGAAAGTGGCTTAATTTACGCTTCCGATGTTGCAACTCAGAAGATGATGCGATGGGGACTGGCTCTGCTCTCGGAGCTCGTCACGCAGGGACGGCTGTGCACGTCTCATCCACGAGGTGGGCAGTGAGTCTCGACTCTGACGTCCTGGGCTGCAATGCGCCCTGACGTTGAACGCGCTGTGAAGGTGGTATTCGGTGTCAAGCCAGCCAGCGAAACGGGACATTCATATGGTTTTGCACCCACATGTCCCGTCGGTTGATGTGCATCAAGGTGGGGAGTGATTAGACTCTCAGGCTTGTTACATTGTGTACATTCTTGGCCTCGAAAGGTTGTTTACTGCGGCAACTGTCGCCTGGGTGCTCGCGAATGAAGAAGAATCAAAGAGAGATCCAGCGAAGGAGGAAAGAGTTTTTCCGCATTCCTTAATCTAACCTTGCGTTTCCATTGCGACCAGCCGTCTTGCACCTTACCTTATGTTTGCTTATACAGTCGTTTTTAGGAGGTCGACTGAAATAAGGTACCTTGAGCTGGGTAGGTATCCATGCATTTGATAGAAATTCTGGGCTGGGGCAAAAAGGTAAGTAAGGTATACGTATATGTAGAGACTGACAATAAATGAGAAAAATAAGCTACCGACTGCCGTTCCGTGTATCCTTTTGGTGCCGTCATCTTTTATTGTCCTGTCATGCTTCCTTGGAAAAAGTTGTCTTGTTGATGTTACTTTCCCCTCTTTTCGGCCAATAAATATAACTTGCGGAATGAGTATCCGTCCATCAGAAGCAGACCACTTCACTATTGAATGTAATTAATTTCCTCGCCCTCTTGACCTTTTTGCCATCTGGCAATTACATTCCTCTGGGCTCTCGAGAGTTGAAAGAATCCTGTCAGATATTTCCGGCAGTCTATCGACCTCATCACGGAGTCGTTACCACATTCTGTCCGTCCAATCTTCCATTGTGCCACACCTCACCCAATTCACTGCCTTGCCTGTCCACTGCGGAAACACGAAAGCAAACCACGCCACCCCCGTCGCCAGTTCGCCTGCCTCACCAACGCAGCAAGAGACCGAGACTGCAGTAATTGCCTTTACCTTACGGTATACCTTGGTGGCATAACAACAAGCCTCAATCGGGGTTGCCTCCCCTATTTTATTTTACCTGACCGTCCTCACCTTACAGACCTGAGGTCCCTTTTAGGCTTACCGTGCCACACCGGTACCCGCAAGCCGCACCGCTCCCGCACCACCGCTGCCTCACCTAACGCAGAACACAGGCGCAGGCGCAGGCGCAGCACTTTCCTACCTGCCCTTCCTTCCCATTTTGCCTTGCGCTTCCCTTCCCGGCCGCTCGACCATTTTCCAATTATCCGGTACTCGTTTCATTCCCAGACACACAGCATTGAACACACCCAACAACTCTTTTTCCACATCCATCCACACCCAGATTCTGCCTTTGCTTCTGCCTCTGTCTCCTCTTGGTTTTGTTGTTCTCTTTGTCCCGTCTTGTAAGGCGAACTTACTTACAACGACGACTTCTGCCGTGGTTCAACCTCTACGGACACCTACGGACAACACTTCTTCCCTCTTCTTTCATCGCCGTGTCGTCGCTGGGCTCTCCTCTCTTCTCCAAATCATCTCTCGAGCACTTTCTCCTCAGGTCACATTCTCTGTCGTCAATAGTCGACACTTCCATTCTTTCGACGGACCCGACCTACCTCGTACTGTGTGTGTCTGCCACCAATCACTCCATCGCTATCTCGCCCTCTCACCATCTGTTTATTCGCCATACGATTCTCTTCCACCGCCTTGGCCTCCACCCCCTCCTCTGCTCTCCTCCCCATCGTCTCCTCTCATCCCGCCGCCGTCCTTCTTATCGGCGCTTCCATTCATTGGGCCGTTTCCCTGCCGCTGCGCACGCGACCGACCGCGTAAAGTGGCTTGGGCGAAGCGAAGAGACCCCAGCGCAGCGCTACTTTCCACTGGGACCAACCTGACGAATACGGCCGCCAGCCGACCAAAACAGCTGCTCAGCATTGTTGTGACCCCCCCGGTCTGCGTTATCCAGGGTCTCTGAATTATTGGCACTTCATTTCCCCCACCATCGTCAAAGCAGCCCAGAGCCAATCTCCCTTCGCCTTTTTTCCCTTCCGCTTGATCAGCAATCCCGCTATCGCCGCCGTCGCCGCCGCTCCCCGTTCCCCCCCCCTTGGAGAGAGTCCGTCTGGCCATGATCTAGGAACGGCTTCAATCCTCCCCTCTCCGAAAATCTTAGTTTTTCGACCCAAAGAATCGTCCACGCCGACCCCGACGACCATGTCCGTTTGCGTCGAACAGTCCTTTCCTTCAACCGACGACGACGCCAACGTCACGAACAACGTCCCCCGAGACCGAGACCCCTCCGGTACCGATAGGCGACAGTCGCGAGACGACTATCATGCCAACGCCAACGCCAACGCCACTGAAGAGTTGACCTCGATTATGACAGCCTCTGCCTCCATCCTTTCAACCATACTCAATACCTCATCCAACCCAGTGTCACCCGGCCCATCAAGCCCACCCCTAGAGCAGGCAAAGAGCAATGAATTCGTGCCCCCGACTCGTCCAAGCAGCACGCCCTTCTTACACCCCGATCAACGGAACTCGGATTGCTGCACTCCGATGGCCGACGACGTCGATGCCTACGGAGGCCCGGGCATCACCACTCCTTCCTATACTCTCGAGACCCCCGAGGCCACGCCCTCCCTGAATCTGAATGACTTACCGGCCGAAATTCACGAATGCATTCTCGATCACCTTTTCGGATACCGAGTATCCACAAACTCCAAGAGCTCGGTAGGCATGCAGAGTGTGACCAAGAGTTGGGGAACCGCACTTCGCCATTCTCGACGCAGGGAGTTATCGGAACTTGCTCTCGTCAGTCCCGTCTGGAGAATCCTGATCCAGGAGCGCCTTTACCGTCACATCAAGATTAAGGCCACCATCGAATCGCTAGAGCTGGCCATGATGTACTTTAGCGAACACAACCACCTCCGGCACTACGTCAAGCACATTGAGATTTGGTTCCCAGTCTTCCAGCCCAAGTACGGTCCGTTGGCGTTGAGCACTACTCTTGCTCTTCCCACGGTAACAATGGATGGACTGACAAATGCGACCTATACCCTCCCTGCCAACAACTGCAGCCTCGAAGAGGCCTTCACCTTTGTCTCGATGGCCCTTCCTGATGTCTGTGTTCTGACAATCGAGGGAGGCGAAAGAAAGAAGGCACCAAAAGTACAGCATAGTTGGCATAAGCGGCCCGCTGGCTGGCATCTGCCGACCCTCCATTCGGTTCGCACCTTGGTCACCAAAGGCCAGTGGAACCTCATGCGCGAAGACTCGGATTTCTCAGCCTTCCTCGCAGCTCTTCCGAACCTCAACGAATGGCACGGCTCCTACAGCAAGCCCAAGTCGAAGAGTTACCTGAGCATGGCTAGCATTCTACCTAAACTTCCCACAAATCTGACCTACCTCAACCTGTGCCTGGAAAGCGACTACCGGCGGGAGCTCACGTGCCCTCCGTTTTACATGAAGGTTTCCAACCAGGTTCACTTCTGCACGAAGCTGGCTGAGGCAACTCCCGCGCTTGAGCATTTGGCTTACACTGGCCGCGTTTGCAAGAATTTCTTCAACATGGCGGCGATCCGATCGGATTCGAGAACGACACGACTCAAGACGATTGACCTAACGGTCAAGAATTGCTGTCGCCCTGTACCTCAGTTCCACGATTCTGGCAGCGGAATTCAGGACATGAACTTTATACACTCGTTCGAGATGCTTGTATTGGCAGGCATCCACTCCATGTCGACTCTCAAGGCTCTGGACTACCTGCGGATTCGCTTCGTGGACTTGGGTAAGTCATGTCTCGCAATTTTTTGAGGTTCCGCCGTTTCTAACCAGTACCAGACTCTCCCGTCCCTCCCTTGAATCCCTATTTTGTCCTGAGAGACGGCTGGTGTTCCGGTGTCTGGAGCGACAACATCCTGGCAGAGCTGAATCGAGTACGGCCAAACGCAAAGTTTGAGCAGTTGAGCGAGTCATTCGGCGAGGTTGGTTTCAATAAGGACGGTCGCATGATTATCAGCCCCGATTACCCTCGATCGCGAGTCTTGTCTCTCAAGCTCGCCAATTACGCACTTTTGGCGGGCAGCGTTGCTGCATTACCCTAAGGGGTTCATCAAAACCGCAACACACCAAGACACCTTGGTACACACCCGCACAGCGACACATCCGCGTAGCGGATTTCCTATTTTGAAATTTGACGACAACACCACACAACGAACATGCAAGCACAGCAACAAGGGTTTCACTTGAGAGGCGTTAATTCGAGGTTCCCGCGCCATAGATGGACAGCATCATACCCCTAATTTGATTTGGGAAAGTTCTGGGTCTGTCATTCTTGCTACCTTGACGGAGTTTGGGCTTGGAACGTGGGACGAGGGGGTAATTCGGAGTCTATAGGGCGGGAAGACTTGATACTCCTTTACATTTGCGGCATGCTGTTCGTTTGGCTCTTGCATTTGCATGTTGAAAGAGTTGCGGATGTCTACTTTTGCTCCAGTCATACACAAGGTTAACAAAAAAGGTTTCTTTTCCAGAGAACAGGCCTTTTTGCGTTTACGTGGTCTCGTTCTATGCTGGTCGCAAGTGACGTGATGTCGATGGAAAGATGTAGCGGTCATCATAGTGGCAGTTATGAATTGGTCCGCGAGTGCTGAGGTCAACGTCTAACACGCACCCCGTAGTGACGTTGAGTGCCGGTGAGGCTTTCGTAGAACGGCAGTTGAGACACCCAGGCCTCGGAGGCTATTCTGACAGACTATCAACGCCAATAGAGAGGCTATAGGGTAAGTTTATCACGAATTTGGGAGTGCTGTTGGTTGCCTTGTCCTGTAGCCTGCTTCCTATGGGTTATGGAGCGGGCACGAAACCATATCGATGCCATGAGGTATGGACTATGGTTATAGAAACGAGACTCTTCTTCTGATTGCGAAACTGGTCAATAAACACTGGAGAAAGCATCTTATACCATGGCCAAGTTAATGAATCTTTTGGTAAGGATTCCGAAACTACGTCTGGGAGGTTACAAGGCAATTGTTTTGTTGGTGATACATTCGCCAGGAGCGGAGCTTAGGACTTGACTTTCAAAGTACGGCAAATATGGGCGATTGCTGGAACTCAAACAGAACTATGCTGAATCCTTAGTACAAAATTATTAGCTGTTTGCATAGGGTTCCTGGTTTAGAATTAGTGCAGTTCCTCTTTATTTCTGATCTACGGATCACGGCTGAATGTCGAGGATACGAAGTAGTTGGCAGTGCAGAAGAACGTACCTATCTCCTAGCTTTAAACCTATCAAACAGCATCTTCACCGTCAACCCGACATTCCAAAGCCAAACCAGGACCAGCATGACGGCCAAACACGTAGACCACACCTTGAAAGCCCGCGACCCGAAAATCTTACCCAGTTGGAGTGCCGCGTTGGTATAAACGCCCTGGAACATTAGAACCCCCTTTCTGAGCTGATTCAAGGAAAAACGCTGGGTCAAGAAACTCACCCAAGGGAAGACCATGGCCCATCCGGCAAGAGTATACGGTATCCTGCTCGGCTTCCACCCCCCTTCGAAGAAAGCGCGAAAGACGCCCAGTAGAGCAAACAGCCACCAGTACGTCCCCAGACCCCAGGCTACGAGGCCGGCAAAGATACTCGCGTAGCCAACCGGAGCGGCAGCGGCGTCCGCGGAGAGGAGGGCGCCGGTGCCGGTATACGACGCGAAGCTGCCGCCGACGACTGCCTGTCCGAGGATCTGCAGCGCGTAGCTCGCCTGGCCCCAGGGTCCGCAGAGGATCATATCCTGAAAGGCCTTTTCCTTGGGCGGCTCGTTGTTCCCCCCCAGCAGGCGGGCCCAGAATAACACGTCTAGGGCGAAGGCGAGCGGCAGGCCCATGCCGATGAGGAGGTATGATACGACGATGATGGGGAGCTGTTGGGCGCCGGGGAGGTGCGCTGACGAGGTGCAGAGGGTCCCGCCTGCCGCTGCGGCTGTGAGGGCTGCGGTGACTGCTAGTTGGGTCGAGGGCGAGAGGTGGGCTACGCCTGGCGGGTGGACTTTTATGAAGATGAAGGGGAGGATGAGGATTGTTGTCGTCGCGAGGGCGAGGGAGATCCACCATAGGACGTGGACTGTTGCGGTCCATGGTGACTCATGGGAGCTGGGGGCGAGGGCGAGGGAGGCTGTTTGGGTTACGGAGGTGAAGGTTATGGAGATGCTGGAGAGGCCTGCCAGTTCTGCATCGTCGTGTTTGAGGACGCGGAGGGTGTGTTTTGGGTGGAGGGTTAGACGGGCGGCATAGAGGGTGAGCATGAGTAGGAGGAGGAGGATGGAGGTTGCCCAGAGGACGTAGGCTATTATTGTGAGGCCTGGGAAGCGGTAGTCTAGTTGGTGGAGGACTGTTGCTATTATCGCTGTTCCTTGGGGGATGAGGAACCATTGGGAGGAGAAGTCGCGGATTGCGGTCCGGATTGGTCGTGATGGTTCGTTGATGGGTTGTGGTTGTGGGAGTGGTTGTGGGAGGTGGTTTGGTTTGGAGACCAAAGGCATCCTGGAGACGCTCATTGGGTTGTTGGATTCGAGAAATTGGTGTTGATACTGCGATGATTGGTCTTATTGGTGATGATCATGTTCCACATCGGAAGGATTTCGAGGAAAGAGGTGAGACAGGCTGGGGGGGGGGGGGGACAAAGTAAAGATCTCCCTCTTCCCCCATGGCACAGTGGCACATGGCAAGATGGGGGAATAGGATGTGGAGAGGTTGGGTTGGGCTAGATGATATGCACGGCGCCCAGATGGGAAACGCCCGGGCGGATAGAGGGCGGATAGATCAACGGGTAGATCGGTTCTTTGTCGATTGTTACACTAGCCCCCAGCTGCGCCATGCCGTAATCATGACGCTCAAGAACAACATCGTGTCGTACACGATGTGGGAAGCGTTCAGACGCGCGGCTTACTCACCAAAGGTATCACCTCGAGCTCAATGCCGTGCACCCGTTCTCATCGCTGTCTGCCTACGTTGATTCGCATAATATCGTCTTTGGCAGTAGGTTCCGTACCGACGGCTCGCTCATCAACCCTTCAGATAGAAGATCAAGCGAAACAAGACAGAACAGTCATCACAAATAAACCATGGGACTACCGGCAATGAGACCCCTCCTACTAGCGGGCGGCAAGTCAACCCGGATGGGCACACCCAAACACCTCCTCCGAATGCCCGACGGAACACCCCTGTACCGGCGGCAGCTGCAACTGCTACGCACCCTCTTCCCGGAGCCGCAGACGATCTTCATCTCTCTGGCGCAGGAGTCCGAGACAGACGAGTTCCTCGACGAGCTCCTGTCGCAGGCCACCAACCAGTCTGCCGAAGTGGAGGACTGCAAGACACCACCGCCAAGGATACAGATTCTACGCGACTACCAACCCGCGAGTCCGGACGCAAAGTACTCTGCTGCCGACGGCGATGGGCCCGCCGCGGGACTTCTGGCAGCATATCGCTACGACGCGTGGGCGTACTGGGTCGTGTTGGCGTGCGATTACCCGCTGATCCCGGCAGAAGCCTTCTTCCACCTGTTTGTCAAGCGCGACGCTGTGCCTGTGACGTGTTTCCGCACTGCGGAAGGGGTATGCGAGCCGCTGCTGGCGATCTGGGCGCCGCCTGCGCTGTCGCGGCTGGCGGAGCGGGTCGCGCGGGGGCATCCGCGGCCCGAGGAGACGGCGAGGGAGCTTGACGGGTTGATGGTTGATGCGCCGGCGGGGTGCGAGTGGTGGTTGACGAATGTGAATACGATGGAGGAGTGGGTGAAGGCTGTGGAGGAAATGAAGTTGGGGCCGCCAGGGAGAGGGGAGATTGCGCCGGAGGGTATTGTGGGGGATGTTGTGTAGGAAATTAAACTTCACCACTCTGATTAACATATTGATATTCGAGCGTTGATATGCCGAGTCTATGTGATATTCCACATCATGCAAAGAGTGAGTGCGCTCCAATGGCAGGTACATCTCATCCGGCTCTCGGTGGACGAACGGGGCGAGGACCGGGGGACCCGCACCGGAAGACGGCCGACGGAGCCGAAGGGTGGGAACCCCGTCTGTCAGTACCTTAAACCCGAAGAAGCGCGTGTTTTTCGGTCTAAACAGCCGGGAAGCGGGGCAAAATAAGCCAAACCCCACTGGGCCGACGTCGTGAGACGTTCCCGCAGAAACAACATGCACCAACGAGCAGGCAGCAGCGGCGTGGAAACAGGCAGACGTTTGCATTTGAAGAAACGGATTTCCATTCAATTACTCCAGACGATCTGAAGAAAAGTTAATTGCAGTCTTAGTGATCAGGTATTACAGTTTATGGTGCAGACCAACAAAGAATGTATGTGGGCCACCCTTCCAGCCCGGCCGCTGTCTCCCGATCCTTCCGATTTACCCGATCTAACATGAAGATGACGATAGCACACTATCATCACATGCATACAACTAGACACGTAGAACCATCATGAGCGCACCCTTAGAACAGAACGGCTCAGGCCTATTCAGCCTCCCATTGGAAATCCGTGAAAAGATCTACGAGTACTACCTCTCATTCGACCACGACGACTTTGGCGACACAGTCCGGCCGCTGCACGTCTACTTCGAGCAAGGGGAATACAAGAAACCTCTACCGCCGCTCATGTTGACCTGCAAGCGCGTCTACCGCGAGCTCTACCAACCCGTCCACGCCGACGCCATCATGCGCGTACACTCCCACGGCTACGGCGACCGGCGAATCGGCTTCGCCGTCCACGGCACCCTGCGTTTCGAGCGCCTGCGGCGGCTGTACGTTCTCATCGCCATGGAGTACCCCAACTGGAACCGGTGGCTGGCCATCTTCGCCGAGGTGGCGCGGCGGGCGGAGGGCTTGGCGGAGCTCGTTGTTGACTGGGAGCCGAGACCGGGGCCGCCGAACCCAAAAGTGTGGGAGGCCAAGTTGACGGAGAAGAAGCATGATGAGTTCTTTGGGGTGTTGGCGGCGTTGAAGGGGTTGGAGGTTGTGAGGTTTTATGGGGAGATGCCGGAGGGGTGGGGGGAGAGGTTTGAGAGGGAGGTTGATGCGAGGCTTGTGTGCTATCGGTCTAAGTGGTGGAAGGAGACTGGGTTGGAGTGAGGGCAGGGGATATTGAGAAGGATGAGTATATATCAAAAGGCGTTTGAGGAGTTGGAAATAATGAGTACCTTGTGCAGATGCCATAACAAGACTGATAGTTATCAGGCAGGGTGGTCTGAGGAGGGCCCAGCCGTTTGCTGAGCTCATGCTTTTTAGCATAACACTAAGGCTAGATAATTGTAAAATACTACCTTAAGCAGAAGGGGACAATAAGGCTGCAGTTATGATATACCGTCCTTGTCTTCAAGACCCTCCCACGTGACACACATCTTCACACTTCAATTTGGGCGCATCCCGTGAATATTCACTGCTCACCTGCTCAACCACCTCAGGCACTCCTCGCCAAAGGTGAATACGACGAATATACCATCTTCAAGCCCTATCTCAATATCCCCCACTTACCTTCTCGAATTCCTCTTGGAAAAAAGAAATCTTTTCCTCGCCCACACTCTCACTTGCTTTTTTGGCAAGACACTCTTCACGATCTTTGCTTCCACAGCAGAACCTTTGCACCGACACAACAACCAAGCTCTTTGCCGATCATCAGAGAGTTGCTCACAATGAACGTGCAGAGTATTCGCATCGTTGCTGGTATGTCTTCACTTTCCGACAAACTTATTGCTGTTCAATTCGAACAACGCAAGCTCGTTTCTTTCACTGGGTTGGCGAATATTTCGAGCACTCTACCCTGCCTTCCTGACCTGAACAGACCTCAAAGAAATATTCTGACATGAAATATCCAGCTGGAGAGAATTCACTTCCTCGCAGTGTGCGTGTCTTCTACGAGGACGCAGAGGGTCGAGTTGTACCTTACCCTGCTGCCAACTATCGCATCATTACCGAGGAGACCCACCATCGTGAGATGATGTTCAACAGACACATCGTTAGCTACTTCCAGCTGACTATCAACGTCATCATGTCCTACTTCTTCGGCTTCCTGGTCTGTTATGGCATGCTGACCATCATCCGCCCTTGCTCTGCTCACGGAACTGTCAACCCGGCATTCGAGATCGCCGCTCGCCAGGAGTACTCCCTCGACAACGCTATGAACCTTGCTCACTGCAACATCCAGCTTGAGAAGCGCGGCTACATTAACGAGGCTGCTTATCGCCGAGCTCAGGTTGCCGACTCCCTTCGTCGCACGGGCATTAGCATGCGTGATATCGACTCCGTCCTCAGCACCGATCATGAGATCAGTGATGACAGCGTCAACTGGCACACTCCTGATGCTGAAATCTTCGCTACTCGTGATGATGGCTGCGTTCTCAGCATCGAGACTACCGAGGGCCCTTTCTGTACGTCCTCCATACTTACCTGATTCGTCCCTTCCCCTGGAATTTGCTGACATCATCGACAGACGTTGAGGGAGAGCTTGACCGCTTTGACCTGACCGATGGCCAGTCTGGCATCCCCATGTACCTGGACCTCCAGATCATCGACACCGAGACCTGCAAGCCCGTCCCCGACATCTGGGTTGAAGTCTGGCGTAAGTCCATACACCCTCCTATCCCCAAATCCCTCAACATCCAACTAACTTCCGCCACAACAGACACCAACTCCACCGGCATCTACTCAGGCGTCGTCTCCAAGGCCAACGGCGCAGGCGAATCCGACCCCTCCAATGCAGACAAGACCTTCCACCGCGGCCTCCGCAAGACCAACGCCAAGGGTGCCGTCTGGTTCGGCACCAACCTGCCCGGCCACTACTCCGGTCGCACCCCACACATCCATATCATGACCCACGTCCCTGGCACCGAGCGCCTTGCCAACGGCACCATTCGGGACAACGTCGCCACCCACGCGGGCCAGCTCTTCCTTGACCAGAAGCTCGTCGATACTTTCCGCAAGCACGAGCGCTACGCCGGCAACGAGCAGACCTTCATCGAGAACAAGCAGGATTACTATTTCCGCCAGGAGGCGAATTTCACGGATCCTGTCATGAGCTATGTTCTGCTTGATCACGAGGATCGTGATCTCGAGAAGGGTGTTATGGCTTGGAAGCTTGTGGGTGTGAACATGACTAATGTTCGCGAGATATACGTCGCCAACAAGTTAGAGGGTTAGGCGGAGAAGTGGTTGGTTCACTGGTCTTATGAAACGGTGTACGTAACATCACGTCGAAGCAGTCTTTTGCCTCATTGCTCTTCAAGCTCCTCATTAGTAGCTTAGATGGATGGGTCTGTCTCACGCTGACGCGACATGGAGATAAATGGCCGTTACGAGAAAACATCAATGCATCTATATGCAATACCCTAATGCTAACTTTGTGCCTGTGAAATGAACTCGCTATGAAATGGTGTAGGAGCTCTAATGCCATTCGACCTTCTTGTCAAAGTCCAAGAAGCCTCGAATGATGATGACCTCATCCCTGTATGCAATCGCCACACTGTCTTTGGACACCGTCCGTATCAAAAGATCGCCTGTACGCCAGAAAGAGGGAATGAAGAGATGCTGTGTATAGAATTTTGCTTGTTCAAAACTTTTGAGACTGAAAGAACTAATCCACCCGCTTCGTGTCAAGAATATGACTGCAGAACGAGTGACCCCCACAATAGCCTTTACGCTCCCGAGGAAACTGCTGGTGGTGCAAGAGACCGGGACTTGCTTGGAAGCAGTATGAATATTGCTACTGGCGAGTAAAAGAAATGTGTTCTGGTTTTCTGCCTGTAAATGGAACGCCTGCACTATGCTGCTGAAGTCGACACGAGAAAACCATTGGTTCGTCAGTGTCGTATCCTTGAGAGCTGGTGGCAGAACCATAGAGACAGAAGAGGTAAAAGCAATCGAGCTGAGGTCATCCCAACGGAAGGGGCGAACAGTGCTTTGCTCAAAAAGAAGCAGTAGGGACTTGTCAGTCGGATGCTGCATCCATTGACTGGTTTCTGTGGAGAGCTGACTTGCTGAAAATGGTTCCGGGGGAGTCTTGTTTTGCCAGAGTTCTTCACCTCTCTGTGTAGAGAATAAAACAGCAAGACCATTTGGTTCAATAATTGCTTGTGAAACAGAAGAAGACGCCCGAGAGTTGAACACAAGATCTTGCTGATACCAGGGATTGTGGTGTTTGAGATGAGGAGATATGCGCATTCCAATGCATCTCGTTGATGCATCAACGCTTACCAAGAGATTGACTTTTGAGTTCCACTCGACTACACGAATGCTTGCGGAGTGACGTTTGAACTCGACAATCTTTGATCCGTCCCTAACATCGTGAATGGAGACGGATCCATCCTCTCTACCACAGAAGACATGTTTATCATCACCCATAGGTGTCAAGACGGTGACAAACTTGGCCTCATCAAAAGGTCTGGTAACAGGACTCTGAAGATGACTTTCGCCTGGGATATCATCTTGGTCGCTGGAAGTATCGTCGGTCGCGTTCTGCCTAACCAGGACAGAAGGTTCCCAGACATTACAAGAACGTCCCCTGACATCGTAGAGCCTGAGAGTATTGGAGGAGAATATGATGCCGACCACAATCTCTTCAAGACATTCAAGTCGATGTATCAACTGCAGAGAGTCGAAGTTGAAGAGCGACACCCCTCCTTCGGTATCTCCGGCCGCTAGGATCATGCCATCAGGCGAGCTGGCGAGTACTCGCGAGTGCAAACTGACCGAGCCGACTTGGTACCACCGGTCTTCATCAAAGTAAATCACAATGATATCCCCATCTTGATATGCGACGGCCATGAGGCCAGACTCTACTGCGGGATTGAAGACGACATCAAGAATCTGGGGTGGACGCAACTTTTCCGAGCCTTTCTTCTCGATGCGAAACAATCTCTCGAGCTTATCTTCCTCGTTCAGATCGAAGAGCGTAAGGTGGGAACTACGATACGTGACAGCTGCGTAGCCGAGAACGGGGGAGAAGCGAACAACCTCTGGACAAAATCTGTCGAGACTTTCGTGATGATCGTCGGAATCGGAATCAGATCTGTCTTCAATGATGGATAGCGAATCAAGCTGCTCTCCGTCACTGGTCGAAAAGGTAAGAACTGCTTGCTTGACGTTTCCTTTCAGAGTTACAAAGACTTTGGAGTCGTTGGCGTTGAATGAGACGGAGAATGCAGTGCTTTTGATTTGCTTTTGCCAGATGCGCTTGTATCGCGCGTCCCACAAAACCAGCTTTCGTGGACTAAGGGAGGCGAGAAGGTTGGTGATATTGCCGAAGGCAACTTGTCGAACAGCTTCGCCATGCTCCATTGTCGTCAGATGCTCAAGAGTCAATGTGCTGAGAAGCCTGATTGTTCCATTTGATAGGCCTACGGCTAGCTGTTGCTCCCTGGAGGCAACAGATTTCACGACCGATGGAAATAACACACACGATAGCCTCTCATCCCATGAATCGTGAGAACCACTGACGACTTTCTGTGAAGAAGCTGCGGCAAAGGTCCTGTGAATGACTGATGAGGTTGGAGAGAGGGCTGGTATGAATGCGTATATTGATTCAGGGCATTCAATGAGCGTTGGTCCAAAGATTGTGACTAGCCGAGTCAGATCAGCGACCCAGGTGTTGACCATCTGAATCTGGTCGTCAAAAGGCGGACTTCGCTCTAGTTGCCGGACCAAATGTCTCTGGAGATTTTGAATGGAAGTGATGAACGGAGCTAATTTCCCCAGCCGAGATATCTTCTCAATCCAAATGAGACTTTTGTTGTTGATAAAGTCAACGAAAGCGGAGAATAATTTCGAAGATTTTGACTGTGAATGACGGAGATGGTAAGCAAAATTGAGGCTAGCATACTCGGCGAAGCTGCTTGAACCCTGGCGAACACTCCCCTGATTCTTTCGCCTTGTTGTATGGCGCGCAAAGGCTTGACTATTAAGGAACTTCAAACAAATGGCTGCAATATCTGCGTGGCCAGCCCGATGATCTATGTAGAGGTTCGATGCCCATGAAGTGAGGTACTCTCTGACCGTTTGGTGCATGAAGTTGATCTCCGAGTTGTGCCCTGTCTTGACAAGATTACGACAGATCTCCGCAAATATGTCCCCACTCGTTGATACGAGGAGGGTGTGACCGATGTCAAGCCGTATTGCTTCCTTTAACTCGTCGATTTTCATTGGTACTGGTGCGCAGACCACCCATCGTAAAATGCAATTGGCCTTATCCGCATTTGCGGAGTTGGAGATACCTTCCAAAATCTTGCCGTAAAACCCGTTCATCTCGGAGGGAACTTGATCCAAAGCTTTCTGCATGTCCTCGAGACTATAAAGACTGTCCAATCTGTCGACCATGAGAGACGCCCAGAGAAAGATGCCGCGCGATCTCTCTAGTATGGATGACACAATCTTCTCGCTTGAGTCATTGTCATCGAGGAGTCGTGAAAGTCTTGGCCGAGATCGAATGTACGCTGCGATGTCTTTCATCGATTCTTCCTGTCCAGTGTGTAGCTCAAGTCGCTGGATCCGTTCCTCGTTTAGAAGCTGCTCGACTGGTGCTTCGGGAGAATCTGGTCTGCTTGTGAGGAATATCCGAAGCGGTACAGATGGTTCTATCTTGGAGAACTTCTGCACCAGGGAGACCAGCGACTTCTTGCCGCATTCGTCAAGGGCATCAATCACCCAGAAGTGAGGTTGAGGATATTGTATCTTGAAGAGTCGTCCAAGAAAGAGAGTATTCCAGATGACAGTATGGTCCTGTGTGTTGACTTCATCGCCATTTTGTATCATGAACAAAAAGTTCTGTCGAGCTTCAAAGTTGCACTCGGTCATCTGGTATGCAAGGCTGAGCAGCATCTGGGTTATGGTGGCTTTGGCGTCGTTCTTGAAGAAGAAGTAGCTGCAGTCGAGATTGTATGATTGAAGGTATTTAATGACATGACCAGAGACAACTGATTTCCCTGAACCAGGAGCTCCGTTGAGCCACAGAAACCTGGGTGGTTTTTGGTTCAGTTTACTCGTGTCGAGAGGATCCACATCCTCATCGTCGTGGTCTATGTCGAAATCGAGCCAACGATGGAAGCTTTCGTTTTGTGTGATCCACTGGCAAGTACCCCTGTGGCATTTCTCTGACACCCCTAACAGATCGTTTTGCAGCGACTGGGGAACATTGAGGGCCCTTGCGATCGACTTCATCTGGGTGTTTTGTCGCGTGGCGCCTGGACATGTTAGGAACGGGACGTGCTTGGGTTAACACAACACGGACAGTCTTGATCTACGAGTTCAATTGTTGTCTTGAAACGATCGACGAGCATTCGGTAGTTCGTGTCGGTGGTTGTGTGGAACTTGCACACATGACGATGGTCCGCGTGGATCATCTCTACCCGCTCGCCTTGCAAGCCTGTGGTACTGATGTCAGTTTTAGTTATCTTATGAAGGTGCTAGAACCTACCCATCACTGCTGATTCTTTGTCGACAATATAGAATCCAGCGGTGGGAACAGCTTCGTGGAACGACCACAAAGCGAGGTCTTTACAAACGTGACGGAAGTCTTCGTTGATATCCTGGTTAGTAAGGTCAGCTGTGAGAATATCTTTGTGCAATCGAGTTTGTGTGTTTTAATTTGTACTCACACGAACTGTGTTCGATCCTGGCAGAAGCTCTTTGACGTACTCCTTTGCCCCCTGGGACATCGGTAATGACAAGTAGTGCTTCAAGTATGCGGCAAAGTTGGAGCCCCTATGAGGTGTTCCTAGAAAATACATTGAATGAAATCTCGGTAGAAGTTCCTGATAAATTGACTGCTGCTTTGCAAGAAGATAGGTCTGTGTACCATATGATTAGAGCAATCCGAAGCCAGTTACCAAGTACCTTGACGTACCTGCTTTATGATGAGACCACCCATAGAGTGGGCAACAAAGACGATTGGAACCTGATTCAGTCAGCGAGGCGAACTAAAGCGAAATCGAGGTCATTGCTTACATCTCTCGTCTTCTTAAGAAGTTGAGAATGGGCTATATTTGCTAGAAGCGACTCTGCAAAATCTCGTATCCGGATCGCGCTGTGCTGAATTTGAGACCAGTCAGAGTCATAACCGAAGCTATGCACTCTGACATGCTTGAAGCCGGGTTCATATGGCAGCCATTGCTCTGGCCAGCACGTTGAGGCATCTTCGGGCCGCAAGCTCCACGTCTTCCTCGAGCCCCCTTGTAAGCCATGGACCTTGAACAATACCCCATCAGTTTCTGCTATGACTTTGGGTCTGAACAGGGCTTCCCTTTCCATACTTACAAAGATGAAGTCCACGCGTGTCTCCGAAGGCTCAAAAAGAATGTTCAGCCCCAAGGGCCCTTTGAGACTGTTATCACCAGTCGCAACGGCTTGGCCTGTGACAGATGAGGAAGGCCTGCGTCGCCATCCACCTCGAAATAGCGTTGGCGCTGAATGTCTATGCGGTTTATTCAAAAGTGGTCGAACTATTGCGGTCGAGTAGCTAGGTGATCGGGTCTCAGGGCAAGTTTCGGGCTTTTCTTCCTACAATATTCACGACCCAGTATTAGCGCCAACTCTTGCGAAGAAATAGGTCCAGTGGGTCACACCTGATATTTGTCGGAAGAAGACATGATCCATCTGGAGCTCATTCAGCTCAAGACGATATCTTTTCTGTACGAAAGCTTGACGGGACAGTAGTCAATAGAGAGCAGATATTGTGGATCGTGGTACGGTGGGAACAAAGCCAAAGGAAATCGTGATTCAAGCGAAATGGGTAACATTGCAGGTCGGTGGATGACCTGACGGTCCTCAACCGATGGGTTGCGGAATGTCCTGGGGAGAGCAAAACATGATACTAGGTGGCCAAAATCAGGCTGTGTGTTGGCTGCTCTTGGCCTCAAGCCACAAATCTCACCCACAGAGCATGTCATACTCAGGCTCGATATTATCCAGAGGCAGCCTGCAGCAATACCATGAATCTCATGTCGCGTTCACGGACTCTTGCAGCCGTTGGAAGGATCACGAGACACTACAGCGGGTATCTCATTGGTTACCGAGCTGTGCCACATTTAACCAGGCGAACCACCCTACTGGAGGAATTACCAGTCCTTTGAAGGCAGTGACACCTTTCTCAGAGTCCAAGCCGGCTAGGGGAAACAATTGGATGCGGGGAAACTGCATGATCTTCCATTTGCGGCTCAGTCACACCGAAATCGACCCATACTTGCAGCATAGCCTGCTTCGCGGATCATCACGACAGACAGAAGCTGAGGTGTTACGTGAGATGTTTTCGATTTTGATCGCGAGAGCTGGTAACCTGAGTCCCAAGGTGCAAGCACAAAAACTTCTCCCGGGTCCCCCGATGACAGTTCCAAAACAATCAACCAGCGAAATTGGAACCTCGTGAACTTATGGCCATGGCAAGCGATCGCGTCCTAGTGGCTGTGGATGAGAGTCTACTTGCTGGTAAGCCTGATGCATCCATCACTAATGATCACATCATTTACTGAGTGGCCTTGAGAATTTCCCAAGGACGGCAAGGTGGTCGAGGTCACTTCTCTTGGACTGAGCGACTGGTGCGACACTACACAGTACAATGTTCAGCTTCCAGATGGAAGTATCCGACGATTTTTTGAAAAGGCATGGACTGAAGCTATTCAAGTACTTGCAATTAACATCCGCTGACTGATTTCACAGAAAGCAAGAGGTGATGGAGGCTTAGAACAGATTCGAGCACATTGGCATTCCGAGAGCAGCGTATACAAGTTCATTCCCGAATACATCCCTCGGCCAGTCGCATTCGGGGAGTACGCATCTCAGCCGAAGACGTATTTCCTCCTGCTGGAGTTCGAGGACATGATAGACGATGACGTCCCACCTCCAGAGACTTATATGGCGGTTCCAAGTGCGCTTCATCTCCGCAGTGCAGGGAAATCTCCCACCGGAAAGTTTGGATTCTCAGTGAATACCCGTTTCGGCAACTTGACACAACCCAATGGCTGGGAATCTTCCTGGGAAGTATGGTGGACTACTCATATGAGATTCCTGTTGGAAAGGGAAAGAGTGATCCGTGGCGCCTACGCCGCTGAAGATGAGACTACATTGAACTTCTTTCTGGATACAGTGCTTCCTCGATACTTACGCCCCTTGGAGACGGGAGGTCGCTGTATCAAGCCAACACTCTGCCACACAGATCTTTGGCCTGGAAACGTCAAGTTCAAGCTGGACAATGAAACCGTCATTGTATACGACGCAAACGCCCTATGGGCCCATAACGAAAGTGAGTTAGGAGAGAATCAGATCTGGAGTGCTATCGAATGTAATATTGCCGAAGCTGATATTTGTGAAGTCGAGCTGGCCCCATTCCGCAACCCAAGATATCCACTCGGAAAGGCATACTTTCGAGAGTACTGGAAGCATGTGCCAATTTCCGAACCTGAGGAAGATGCCGACAGCCGCATAATCATCTACTTGATCCGCCAGCAGGTCTGCCTAGCCAGCCTATACCCCAATGAGCTGAAGCTGAGAGATGCGTACGTTGAACATGAATTTGTTCCTTAGCCTCAAGCTACAATGGCGAAGTGCTTACGAATATTCCATAGATTCCTCAGCAATATGTGTCTTCTAGGTGATAGGGTTAGAGACGAGAGCGAAGAAAGTAAAAATGTTGAGAGAGCCCAGGTTTACTTTGAGCCCCATATTCCTGCACCTGTTCCAGTTGGTTTGGTTTAGTCAATGTTATGTATTTGAGAAATAAATGTTTGAGGGACTTGAACTGGTGAAGCGCGTTGCCAAAATTCCAAAGAGATGTGATTAATTTTCAGATTGCCAGATTCAATCCCTGCATGTGGTGTTATCATGTTGCGGTTGCAGTCACAAGACTGAGGGTCAACATCCAACTGTCTGTCATCTGCTGTGCAACGAGCTCATTTCGTGTGATTGGTTGCAACCCCGCCTCCCAAGAAATGACGGTTCGACCTTTTCCGTGACATGAAGAGCAAATCCCTGACCCTAATGACGTGTTTCCAAGACAGAGCAACTGTCTTGTTGCTTACCTACCTCATATCCTCAACAGCTCGCACTGCAACGTCGTTTTCTGAGTTAACTGAAGCCTGATCAACTCTACCTAGACGAAATGAACGGGGTTAACGATCTTGAAGGTACCGATGGTATCGTACCTCTGGAACCTCTTTTTATATCCCATCAAGACGCCGAGCCCGAGAAAGAGGACGTCAACGAAAAAGAGCCTTTTACGGTCTTTGCCAAATGGCAGAAACACTGGATCAGCCTCAGCGCATCATTTTCGGCCATGTTTTCTACCATGAGTAGTTATATATACTACCCGGCCATTGTTCCCATCGCTCGAGATCTTAAGGTGTCGGTCTTCTTGATCAATCTCACAGTAACCTCATATTTGATTATCGCCGCGATTGCACCTGCCTTTATGGGGGATATGGCTGATCAAAGCGGCCGGAGACCAATATTTCTCTTGATGTTCGTCTTGATGATTGGAGCAAACGTTGGGATTGCTCTCCAAAGTTCATTTCCTGCCCTACTGGTGCTTCGTATGCTCCAGAGCTCAGGTGCTTCTGGTGAGGACCAGTGCCTGACTAATATGTGCCCAGACCGTTTCTGATACCGAGTAGGATTGACTGCCATTACGTACGGTGTTATATCGGACATGACATTGCCGAAAGACAGGGGAGGTTTCGTTGGTGTATTATTACTCTTGTAGGTTCATCATTCGCCTTTACATACTGGCTAGATGAACAGTTGTATTGACGCGTGCGCAAGCACAGACATTGCCCCAAGTCTTGGGCCTGTGATTGGAGGCGGCATAACTCAAGAGCTTGGATGGAGATGGGTATTCTGGTTTCTGACAATTGTTATCTCAATAACAGCTCTTACCATGCTGCTTTTCTTCCCTGAGACGCAGCGCAACATCGTGGGAAATGGCAGCGCCAGCGTCAGAGGCATTTACTGGAGCTTCTTCACTCTGATCAACAAAAGCCCTCAGAGAAAGAACGGAGGAGCGTTGAAAAGTCACAATTCCAGGCGACACTGGCCAAACCCGTTCGCCTGTCTGCCGATCTTGAAAGACCGCAGCTCACTCGTAGTGATACTCCTGTACGGAATCACATATTCCGTGAAAATGACGCTGCAAACATCGCTGGGTGCCCAGTGTGTGGAGATCTACAAACTAGACTACCTGACTGCAGGATTGATATATATTCCTTCTGGGGTCGCCGGAGGCATAGGATCATTCACAACCGGTTTGACATCCCTCTATTCCAACACTACGCAGTATGGGCTAACGGAAGAAACAGGGAGAATTCTCAATCGGAACTACCGAACAGCAACGAGCAAGCTATCAGAAAGTAGTGACTACAATGGCATTGCGCCCTCTGAAGTACAAATTGAACAAGTCAGACTAAAGGGCTTGAACTTTTTAGTCACTATAAGCGCGTTAGGAACAGTTGGATACGGTCTCGCCCTCATGACAAAAGCGGTAAAACTGCTCGCAATCTCAAATCACAACATGTCGCTGATATGGTCTAGCACATGGCTGTCATGATTATAATGCAGTTTATCACCGGAATCACCACGGCTAGTCTGTTCACGGTACGAGACTTATTGCAAATCTAAAATGGGATGAACTAGATTCTAACCAAAACACCTAGATGACAGGAACACTCTTAACCGACCTCAACTGCGAAAGATCTGCTACAGCACAGGGTGCGTCCAGCATAGTGAGATGCTTGGGAGCGGGTGCGGCAATTGCAGCACTGCAACCACTCGCCGATGCTGCGGGTTTGGGTTGGTGTTTTGCTATCTATGCATTGCTTCTTGCAACTGAGTTGCCTTTGGCTTGGATCATTTGCAAGAAGGGACCGGATTGGAGGAAGCAGTGCGGACCTTAATGAGACGCAGTCTTGTCGGCAATTTGCTTGAGGCCAAGGCTTGGCTTCTAGATCGATCACACCGACTGCTGCGCACCAACCCAGACAAAGGAACTCTCAACTACTGGAACGTCGTATCTAGTAGACAGACGACTTGGGAAAACAACCATATCGCAATGCCTAATCCTTGTGATGCCTGAACTTTGCTTCAACAGCAACAATTCCCATCACCGCCATCGAGACGCTGATTGTTATGAACACAATGGCAACCCAGAGGCAACAGTGCCTCTCGTTGGCCCTGACCTCGCGTGCCGACGTAAACTTGTCGCACGTCTCGCAGTGTTGGTGCGGCTTGAAAGGGTTGAAAGGTGCCGACGGATCTGGCGTCGAGTGATCGTGTGCAAACTCGATGTCGCGCTCGTCGTTCTGCGGGATCGTCGCGTAGGCTGACGCTGATCCTGATGGGGGAAATGTGTTAACGGGGTGGTCGTCGTGGAAGCCGTGTTCATCGTAGGCTGGTGCCGCCTCGGAGGGGGATGTTTTTGAGGGTCCCATTGCAGTTGTGTCTTTGCGGCTCTTTGCGAAGATGCTTTCGCGATCGGCTGGTGGGTATCTTGATGTGACCTTGCGTCAGGTTCAAGTATGATGGTTTTCTACCCTGGCGATGTCAGACGGATTGATGTTGGGCCTTGTGAGGGCAACCAACAGTGTGGCTGCCGCGTCAGCATGTTCAGCCACAACTTTCCGGTCGTCGTATTGGTTAATTTACGCCTCTTTTCTGCACAGAGGGCTGAAACCGTTTTTCCATTTCTACCACGCCGCAAATGCTGCATGCGATTGCGGGTGATTGTCGCTCGGTGTGGCCGTGCGACGCGCGGGCAGTGCTCAAGACACGCCTGGCAGGTTAGTCACTGGACCGGACTGTGGTGCCAACGCGCCTGATGTCATCCTTCTCTTGTGCTTGTTAGGTTTGATTGGTCTTCACTGTCGTCCTGTTGTCGTAAGTCAACGCTTAGCACCACGTGATGCCGACGATTGAGGAGTCCATGGAGTGTTTGCGCCAAGTTCCCCCCGCCGTCAACGACGATTTTGTTGGAGGGGGAGGCGGGGCGTAAATAGCAATGGTTCTTGACCTCCACGTGCTGGAGGGATGTCCTTGGACTCTGGAGGTTCTTGGAATAAGACAACCTGATTACTAAGCGAGAAGTGGGCGATAACGCGGGGTTCCAAGCACAATTCTGTAGGCAGATTGAGGTGGACTCAACTTTCTAAGAATGAGATGAACTGGAACTTTTGATCAACCTTAACATACACAACGGGCAGTAGTTAAGCCGTGCAACTCACATGAGCGAATTATTTGCCTCATAATCAAGCATCTATCGAGCTTTTCTTCCCTAGCATCACATCACTCACGGTCTTGATTACGCGACATTCCGCACTTTGCAATACGATATCACCGTAGTACCTCCCAGGCAGGTCCCAAAGCTCGCGAACCTTTGATCCCTGTCGATATGCCGGGGAGGTCGGACTTTTTGTTTCTCTCCCGCTCTGCCGCGTTTGTATCGATCCTCCAGGCTCCAGGCAAACAACCCGCCCAACGCCGCCCCGAGTGTCGCTAAGCTTGACAAGCTTCGCCAAGCTAGCCCAAGCTTCGGCTGCATCGTGCGCCCGAAGCTTGATCTATCCGGGGCCCTGTCTGCTCCCACGACACTAAGACATAGTGATCGAATCACGAACGCGCCGGGAGGGCCGTTGGGGCTTCATTGTCGATCTGCGGAACCGGCCTTAACCTTAAGAGGAAGGTGACAGTTTGTGCCCGGCTGCGTCATCTTACAACTTTTATGCGGCTTTCAAGAGCCGAAAACGCGATTAATACCCAGAAGTGCCAGGTTCCTCCGCGCCGTTGGTCACTAAGAAGGAAACATGAAGTTTACATGACACCGAGACTCGGCGAAGACCAATCAGGCTTATCAGTACAAGCTCATTACGAAAGGACCTTAAGGTTCAGGTAATCTAAACACGACTTTTCTCGACATGAGCTTTCCAAAGGGCCTAGATGAGTCCAAGGTACCTCTGGAGGAGACCGGCTAGCAACGCTTTCTCGCATGCCGAACAACCGACCAACGTACCATGAACCAACGATCAACATCTGCCTGGACCCACCACCGTTCAATCATCGAGAAGTGACCCATTCTATCAGGGGACTTTTGGGCACTTTGGTGTTTCTCCTTCTGCCTATGGTAAGCGTCAGGGCCTTTGTGAAGTGATGCCGTCATATACCAAAATGTTCAAATACCGCGGCCGAGCCAGCTTTGGTCGGAGTAGTGTCCTTCACCCGCTTGCAGTTTCTCCCCAGTCAAACTCAAGATGAAGCTCCTCAACCTCTTCAGCGGGCTGCTTTGCGCCTCTTCTGCGCTTGCTTTCAAGAAGCCGGCCAAGCCTACGCTTCCGAGGTCCATTGTCGAGAGGCGCGCGGCCAACCAACCCTTCTCTCACCCCGAGATTCAGAAACGCGCCTCCCAATTTCTGACGGAGAAGACGAAGGGTGAGTGATTGACGGGCATTGAAGCTCTTGGTCGCCAAGCTAACTTCTTTCCAAGCTTTCGCTGTCAATGGCACTGGCATCCCCGAAGTGCCTTTCGACATTGGCGAATCCTACGCTGGACTGCTCCCCATCTCCGACAGCCCCGACGAGACTCGCGAGCTGTTCTTCTGGTTCTTCCCCTCATCAGCCGCGCAGACCCCTGAAGAGGTGGTCATTTGGTAAGATAACACAATAATACTCGAATCTGAAGCAACCTGCTGACGTGCGACAGGCTCAATGGTGGACCTGGATGCTCATCCCTCTCCGGTTTCCTCACGGAGAACGGCCCGTTCACTTGGGAAGCAGGCACGCTTGCCCCCGTTCAGAACCCCTACTCATGGACCAACTTGACCAACATGCTGTGGGTCGAGCAGCCCGTCGGTGTTGGCTACTCCCAGGGAGTACCCAACATCACCGACGAGGTCCAGCTTGCGACCGAGTTCCGCGGTTTCTACAAGAGCTTCATCGACACCTTTGACCTCAAGACCTGGAAGACCTACATTACCGGAGAGTCGTATGCTGGATACTACGTCCCATACATCGCTGACGGTTTCATCTCCGCCAACGACACTGACTACTTCAACCTGGCCGGAATCTCGATCAACGACCCCATCATCGGTGACGAGACCATCCAGCAGCAGGTCGTCATCCTCCCCTACGTCGAGTTCTGGAACAACCTCTTCTACCTGAACGAGACCTTCATGGAGCAAGTTCGCGACCGCCAGGACTCGTGCAACTACTCCTCCTACCTCGATACCTACTTCCAGTTCCCGCCTCCCCAGGAGCCCTTCCCTGTCCTGCCCGATCCCTACAACAGCGACGTCTACGCCTGCGACATGTTCGACACCTTCTACGAGGCCATCATCGAGGTTAACCCCTGCTTCAACATCTACCACATCACCGAGACCTGCCCGCACCCGTACTCCCAGCTCGGCATCGTGAACAGCGGCGACTACACCCCGCCCGGCGCCGAGATCTACTTCAACCGCACCGACGTCAAGAAGGCGCTCAACGCGCCCCTCAACTCCAACTGGCAGCAGTGCACCAACGTCAACGTCTTTGGAAACGGCACCCGTCGCGGCTCCGACCAGTCCAACGGCCCCGCCATCACTGGTGCCCTGCAGCGCGTTATCGAGTTCACAAACAACACCATCATCGGCTCTGGTGACCTCGACATGCTTCTCAGCACCAACGGCACGCTTTTCGCGATCCAGAACATGACCTGGAACGGCGCGCAGGGTCTCTCGGAGTACCCCGCCACTCCTCTCATCGCTCCTTACCACCCCGAGTACAACGGTGGTGCGCTCGCCGGCGCTGGTATCCAGGGTGTGTGGACCGCTGACCGTGGATTGACCTTCTACACTGCTCGTCTTGCCGGACACGAGCTACCCGGATACACTCCTGGTGTCGCGTACCGCATGCTTGAGATTCTGCTCGGAAAGATTGACAACTTTAGCAATACTGATGACTTCACTACCCAGACGGGTAACTTTACCGGAAATGGTACTATTTACAAGAGAAACCACTAGACAAGTGGTTGTAGTGAAGAGAAGTTCCCACGGAAGGTTGAGGATTATGCCACAATCGGACTATAGAGATTTATAGTAATAATGTCTACCCATGATCAAACTTTCACTCCTGACGTTTGCTTCCTTCTGTGCATGGGAGTTTTCGCAAAATTATTTATACCAACCATCGGCTACGGCCTTACTTTCCTTCTTTTGGCCCTGTCCAGCGGCATTCCATTGATTGAAGCATGGGAGAGAGATGTTACCATGGGGTCAGGTCCAAGCATTGAGCTTACCTGGCGCAAATGCACTTCACCCTACCAAGTGCACCCCATCCACCCAACATTGCCGTAACGCCCGTGAACAAGATGATCCCGCCATACTGCCCGCTATATCCCCAACTCTTGCCATCCCTTATCCACCCATCTCCAGTCAATAGAGCCACGCTCAATGGCCCACTAATCACGTTGCCGATTCCTCTCCCACCAGCCAACAACCCAAAGATGAACCCCGTATCCACCGCCGGGCTCTCAGCCTTCAACTCAGACAGCACCCCAGACCAGGTGGAACTGAACCCTCCGGCGAAGAAGCCGTACGTGATGCTGAAGACAGCCAACAGTGCCGTCTGACTTGAGAATCCCCAAAACAGAAACACAGCCAGCGCGGAACCGATGGTCGAGACAAGGATCACGGTGGTGACGCGGAGGTGGTCTCCCAGACTGCCCATGACGATGCCGCCGGGGATGGAGGTGACGTTGATGAGAACGAGGAGGGTCGTTGCTACGGTCGTAGAGACGTGGAGTTGTTGGACGGCGTAAGTCGAGAGGTAGGTGTAGGGAAGGAAGTAGCCGAGGGATTGGAGGACGTTGCCGATTTGGAGCATCCAGAAGGAGGGGAGGTTGATGAAGTTGAGGTTGATTCGGCGTACGGCGGAGGATTGCGAGAGTGGGATTCGCGGTTTGAGGAAGTAGAGAAGGGGCGCTGAGATGAGCACCTGTGGATCGTTAACAAGACGACGTGAAACGCTCATCATAATCCTCAAACCATACCGTTGCAATGCTCCAAGCTCGAAGCGTGACCACTGGTCCAAATCTTTGCAGACAGGTCTCCATGGCGAAGGGCAGCCCGACACCAGCGGCTGACTTTCCAGCCCACATGACTCCGTAAGCCAAGCCTTTCCGCTTGATGAACCATTCATCGAGGTAAAGAGTCGTAGGCGTAAACAGGAATCCGCAACCAAGGGCGCAAATAACACCCTGGGCCGCGATCAACTGCCACACCGTAGTCGCGAAAGAGGATAGGAGGAAGCCGACTGCTGTTAGAACTAGCCCAAGCGGGCCGAACCAACGGCGTAGACGGGGCCATCTGCTCAAGATCGTGAACGTGAAAGGGGAGATGAGGTACATGATGCCCTAGCCTCGTCAGCACATCCAAGTGATGATGTGAGAGTGGACTCGTGAATATACCGTCATGGTGGTCCCAATCACTGCAACATTGCTGGTATCGCCCTCGAGCTTGTCGGAATGGCTTCCGTAGTATTCCTGGAAAACACCAAAAGCGAGAGAGTAGCCTACCAAATGCTTGGGTCAGATCCCTGGGATCCACAGTCAGGAAGGAGAGTATGAAGGCTCACTTACCCCAGACGGGAATCTGGATCAAACTGCATCCGAGCAAGACAAGCCATGCCTGCCGTCCCCTGTCTGCGGGAGGCAATTGCGGTTGTTCAGTTTCATTCTCGCTTTCTTGCTGCTCTACTGCGTGACTGGCCGTCAACGAACGATCGGGCAAGTTTATTGCCTCGGACTCGAAGTCTTGATGTTGGTGGTTCATGATGGCCGACTGGTACTGGTGGTGTTGTTGCTGCCGTCGAATGATGGTGATGCTGGTGACTGAGGGCGCGTACTTATGAATACCGCAGTAACATTCGACAGTGTGAGTCACGAATGAAGAAATCAATATGACGTTGGAAGTTGAGACTCAAAAGTCATGATCTGCCGACATACGGAGGCTGATTGGCTCAAGATAAGTAGTAAGGCTACACTCGCGACTAGGCTGCGGGGTCAGCACCAAACATGCTAATCAAGATATGATGAGGACCATTATCTTACCCAAGCCAAAGGAAAGTATTATAGTAAGGAGTGGTCGTACTGACCTGGAACTACTGATAACAATCTTCGCCATACACAGATGCTGAAAGACGGAAAAGTGACCACTCAGATGGACTGGAGCTTATTAAACATTTGGGCGACACCATGTTGTCGTGGATGAGGTCTTGGTCTTGGTAACGGTGATAAATTTGGCTAGAGACGTCTTCCATTGTTGACGATGAGACGAAGTTATATATCCTATGAAAACCAGGACTTGACTTGCGGTCTAACAATAGTTCTCCAACCGGGCGCATCGCCTTCGCCGCTTCCATATGTCTTGCCCGTTCTAATCAGAGCTACAGTGCATGTTGTAGTTGAGGTCCGGATCGGAGCTAGGTGGGTTCGAAATCAGTCACTTCAACAATCTCGACGGATAGACACCAACTTACCCATCAGAGGGAATGATAATCTGGCCCTGTGGCGTCCACGTTTGCTCACATACTGGTCTTTCACCACCGCAACTTCTGCATATCTTCTTGAAGGCATATGCTGTATCCTAGTCAGTCTCCTGGACACGAAGCAGGTATCAAGAGTCCTTCCGACGCTTACCTGATCCGACATACTTCTGGAACCAAAGACGAATTCTCTTGTTAGGAGCAGTGGTGCATTGAAAGGTTCCTCCGTGGGCCCATTCGTCCGTTGTATTCATACCCAATGCAATGCTCAGCACATGTTTAATGGGCCTCCAGTCAGGAGTAAGACTGATCCTCCTCTTGACGGAAACTTTCTCCTCCCAAGGGATCGCCACAGTCTCGGGGTCGCCGACGAGCCCAACATGCTGCATCTTGGAAGCTGCCGTATACGGACTCCAGTATGACTTGACATCCCGAAGCTCCCACTCGTCCCACATGAAGCAGTGGTTTTCTGCAGTGGTCTCCCCGTCCGAGGTCGGTCCGTTTCGAAAGCTGGTCATTGGGATAAAGGTGTTCATGTTACGGATGTAGATTGTATCTGCTGTGCCAGCGCGAGACACCAACATCCCCTTCACATCGTTCAAGTCGAAAGACTGAGAGATCAGGTGAGTCGGATGCTTCAGGTGCATTCGCAATCTCATTTCTTTGAAGTCGATGTTCTTGACCCGAGGTGGCGCGGATCTCTCGACGAGGTTGGCAGGAGTCCCGATTGCCAGGCCGGCAACGGCCAGAAGAGTGGCAAGGAATCGCATCTGAGGGCGTCTCCTTGTTGAGATTAGGCCTGATTAATGTCGTGAAATAGGTATTCTTGATGACTGGCGGTACTCTACGTGCAACGTGCAGATGGGATTGCTTCTCAGAATCGAACAACGACGCGTCCGCTTTCCGACAAGTGTAAGTGGGAGGAAATGATAATGAAGAGTATCTCCAGCACCCCAGAATCAAGGTTTTCGGAAAGCGAAGCCCTAGGGCAAGGCAGGTGAGGACATGTATGGCCTCCGCGACCAAGTTTCCCGCGCCCGGTCAATGAGAACATATACGGCACGATGTGATACACTTTGTTGGGACCAACTGACTAAGGCAAAATTCCGGCACAATTGCCGAGACTCCAGCAAGGTTTGAAGAATAGAAAGGCGATGATGGTATGGCGTATTGACGTCTGTGAGTGAGGAGCGCCTCAAGCGTTGTTACTGAAGGGTCTAAGTGTAAAAGTAAGACTCCACGTCCTATCATCTCTAATTTTATCAAGTGAGCAGCGAGCGCCGTGTATTGGAAGCCTCTGCACTGCTAATACAGCTCATAAGCTTGAACATCGTTGTATAATGCCTGGTAAGAAGGCTTATTGCTTACATGTAAACACCATCAATTGAGTCTAACAGTGTCGCAGATTTCCCAGCGCTGCGTAGGGCTCAATATTCACATTGAGGATACCCAGAATCATTCAGAGAGGTGGGAGTTCAAAAACTGAACAACATCATCCGTCCCTGAAGGTGAATTAAACCAATGCCCTCCTTCTTGATACTCCTTCCATTCAACTTGTGCACCAAATTTTCCCAGAGTATCCCTCAAAATACGGCCATTAGCAACCAGCACCAGCGGGTCGTCAACGCAATGCTCCAGTAGGATGGGAGTATGTTCCAGAAGCGCAAATCCTTCTGGGACATCCCCAAGCCCGAGAACTGCTCGAGTATCGGTGAGATTTCTCCCAGGGAACGGCATGCGGCAGGAAAAGCCAACAAAGGCTCCGAGTCTGGATTGCCCCGGTGGGAGTCGTAAGTTGAGCAGAGTGTGGACGCCCGTTGCTGCCCCTTGACTTATCTCAGCCAGAATGATGCGGTCCCACCTGCCTCTAAGTAGCTCCGCTTCCGTGGCGAGGATCTCTCGGATCGCGGCAACGCTCTCTCTGAGCCCCTCAGCCTGATGCTCTTCGTGATCGACAAAGTTGTTCACGTTCCAGATGTCGAACCATTGCGAGACCTTGTCGCCGAGCGCCACCGCCTTCCCTATTTTTGCTTGAGGGAAAACCCAGCGGAATGATGGAAAAGCGTCTGCCAGAGTGCGATTTTGTGAGTCTCTGGAGTAGTTTAGTGATTCCATGAAGTTCTTTGCATTATCGCCCCGCCCGTGCAAGAAGACGACGGTGTGGGTGTGGGTTGTTGATGGTTGATGATAAATAAGTGGAGAAAGCATCGCGAGCTTGATGGAGCTATGATTGAAGGGAAACACGGGTGTTGAGTGATATTCGTAGAGTGAAAGAAGCGAGCAAGTGGCTGAGTGGCGCGGGAGAGTTGACGGTTTTAATGCATCTGATAGCCAAAGCCCAGGCAACAATGGCGACTGGTGCCTAACAGGTTTTGGCCAATGCAATTGTGGTTACTGTTTACACTGTTCGAGCTGACCCTTGGCAGGCGTTCAGTCTCTCCCAAACTCAGATTCTCACGAGGGGTGCGGGTTATATTTAAGCAAGAAAACTTTCGACATGGCTAGACTTATAAATTTACGAGTGATGTAACTGCATGATGTTTTGGCCTGTCGTCATAGAGAGTTTACGCAGCCAGAAGAAGCATCCGGATAGCCTTTGAAAGCATTTATACAACAGGTGGTAACGCACTGAAAACCGACACTATTCAATCACGAAATCCTCAAATTCTGCCCATTGATCTCCGGTAGAGCCCTGTTTGCTGTTCGAAATTGCGAAGATGCCGTACAAAGTGCCCGTCATGTCGTAGCCCGAAAGCAGGACGGGGTCAACGTTTCCGAGACTTTGCCACTGGGTTCCTTCTCCAGAGCTCCTGACTCTCCAGAGAAATCCGTACTCGTCGGGTTTGGTTCGAATGCGGAGCTCAATTGCCTCGGCAGACTTGGGTATAGCAGCCGAGCCTAAATTGATCGACTCTGGCTTCTGGTCTCTGATTGCCACCAAGATGGAAGATATCTTGCGCTCTTGCGGATCGATTTGGATGACTGCATGCCGCAAGCTATCCTTGTATACTGTTAAACCGACCAGCGGTAAAACTTGAGACCCTCTGGAAGACAGAGGTACCGTGGTTGAAGCTGATCCTAAGTGAGATCTTTGCCTGCGGCCAACGAACGTGGATGTGCCAGATGGGCTAGCTAGGGTTGAGGTCTGGGCGCACAAAGAATAGGTATTGTTTGTGGCAGAATATGAGTAGTTTTGAGGAATGGGAGTGCGGATGTAGAGATCTTCAACTTGCTGATTGATATCCTTGAAGACATCGTGCAGTCCCGCGTTCGGTCCATCTTCGAGGTCAAGATCTAGGCTCAGCTTTGTCTGAGAAATTCTGGGCCATGCATCCTCAAGCCAGTCAACCCAAGTGAGAAAGGTTTCGCGGCCTAGTGGATGGCGTTGAATATTGTCCTCATCGTGTCGTATTCCTAGGTGAACGCAGAACCAATGTCCCCTAGTGTCTTGGAACAGATCACCATGGCCAGTCCAACGAACGGCTTCGTCTTTCTCGAATGCAGTCAATAAAGGGTTGTTCTGACAGCCCTCGTAAGATCCCCAAATATCTTTGGACCTCGCCATGTTGATTTGGTGACCCTCAAAGGTCGAAGATTCGGCGGTCAACAGATAGTACCAGCCATCTTTGAAGTAAATGTGCGGCCCTTCAGCATCATCTTTTCCAGCGGCACCCTTCCAGAGAAATTTCGTATCTGACAAGGCTGCGCCGGTCTCAACGTCGATTTCGAACTGGCGAATCGAGCAATCTGGTGCCCATGGAGGCCCCGTTCGGTAAGAGCCATGAAGATATGCCCTTCCGGATGTCTCATCAAAGAATAATCCAGGATCAATACCCGGAAACTCGAACGGTACCGCGTCTGACCAGCCGTCCTCTGAGAATATCAAATCTTCGTGACAGCTAAGCAGGAAGTTCTGGAACTCGTGTGTTCCATCGGGTTTCTCCCAGGCATATGTACACACAAGATAAAACTTGTTTTTGAAATGGCGGAGTGTTGGCGCAAACAGACCGCCGGTGATTATGAGTGGGATGCCATGAGGCAGAGGGATGAATTTGGTGAAGGCGTTGGATAGAGACAGCTGCGTGGTTCGGCATAGGGCATGACCTTTCAACTCCCAATCCACGAGGTTTGTAGAAGTGTAGATAGGCAACCCAGGGAAAACGTGGAATGAAGAGTTGACGAGGATGTAAATGCCATTGTGGACGACTATGGTTGGATCGGGAGCGAACCCCGGGATGATGGGATTGGTAACCTTCATTAGGACGCAGTTCAATGTTGCTCAAGCTCGCTGATGTGATACCTAAGGTGGTTGAAGCTGGGGCCTTCTGGCTTAGATCGAGGGGCTAGAAATCCAAGACAACACAACTTACACTACACAGACTCGACATTGAATAAACTTATCATGTCGGGAAGTCCGAGTTGTATGTAGTCAATTTTCAATTCGGACTCACTTCTCCCGAGTCTTCCACTCCCCCGTTTCCCCGGATGTTCCACTCGCATGTCCACTGTACGTCCACCCGCCGTCCACCTAGGCCTACCCCAATCCTCACTAACGTCCACCCAAGACGTCCACCCAAGCTAGACACATCAATGATACCCCAGATTCCCCCCCGCCATTAGCTTCCCCGGACAATCCATAAGGTAATTCACTGGATACTCTGCATGTGCAATTAGCTAAGGAATGTGGTTCTGTTTGCATTTTATATCAAATGGCAGTCAAGCCCATCCTTGTTGGACACCTGTGAACAATCTTCTGCAGGCGCTTCAGTCATCAAAACAAACAGAAACATGACTTCACCAAAGGCAGACGACGGGAAGATGCAGGACCCGGAGTGCAATCACTTTGAGACAGCAAAGATGGGCCCGGGAATTGCATCTGTCGGTTCTGGGACTGGTGAAGATATCATCAACGCAGAAAGACAGCTCTCGGTCCTTTCGAATGCGAAAAGGCATTGGCGAGCTCTGCTCATAGGTTAGTAATTTCACCCATGTGACTCAAGTACTTCTCTAACAGTCATGAAGCTTCCGTAGCTTTCTCCGCCGGCATCGTCTTCGCCTACGACACAGTTACCAACGGGGCCTCAATCTCCATGCCCTCGTTCCTACTATACTTTGGCGAAATCGGACCGACGGGACCCTATCTCCCATCCATCTGGACCTCGTTGTGGACGGCAATGTCTTCACTTACGCAAGCCCTTGGTGCCATTTTGGTCGGCTTCGTCTCTGATCGATATGGGCGGAAGTGGCCATCTTGCGCCGCAGCTGTCTTGACTCTAGTCGGTGCCGCAGTGCAGTATGTCGCAGTTCCACGTGCAACTCTGATGGGCGGCAAGATGATATCTGGTTTGGGCATTGGTGCTGTGATGGCTACTGCTACGACATATATCGGTGAAGTATGGCCAGACATGAATACTTCTTTCTCACAACTCAACTAACAAACTCTCCAAGGTATCGCCTCTGAAACTTCGCGCCCCATTGCAGACCTGTTTCGTTATCTTTGTCCTTCTCACTCAGGGTCTGGCGTTGGGTGTGATCCGTATCTTCGTTCCTGATATTCGAGAGCAAGCGTTCAGGACGGTCATTGCGATCCAGTGGGCCGTTGGTGGCTTGGCTGTTATCACCTGGGCTGTGGCACCAGAGTAAGTGTTACTTGCCGAGATAGGAATGGGCAGTATACTAAAGTCTCATCTTTAGGTCCCCTATTTGGTTGATCAAGAAGGGCAAGATTGAAGCTGCGCGAAAGGTCATGCGCAAGATCTACGGTCCAAATAACCCCGACGAGCGCCTCGAGTATGAGATACAAGCTATCCGCGCGGAACAAGAACTCGAAAAAAACAACAACGCTACATACGCAGCATGTCTTCAGGGCCATAACCGGAAGAGATCTTTGACCGTCGCGTTTCTTTACTCAACAGCCAACATCGGCGGCGCCCCGTTTCTAGCTCAGAACATTTACTTCCTCATTACTGCTGGTCTTGAGGCCGTTCACTCTTTCGACATCGGTATCGGCGGCTTCGCTTTTGCTGTGCTGATAATCTTGGCTAGTGGGGCATACCTGCAGCGTATTAGTCGGCGAAACGTCGTGCTGCTAGGCCTCGTGATCAACCTTCTTTTCATGGTTATCATTGGTGCGCTTTACTGGGTTACAAACAAGGGCGGCCTTTGGGCAATCGCTGTTTTAATGAACCTTCTCATTTCCCTACAGGCGGCATTCCTGCAAGGCGCTGGCTGGCCTATCGCCGCCGAGATCCCATCGTACGCGCTTCGTGCCAAAACGCTGTCTATCGGCATTTGCGCGCAGACCTTCACAACTTGGCTGTTCAACTTCATCACCCCTTACATGTATAACGTTGACTCTGGCAACCTCGGAGCCCGTACCGGGTTCATCTACGCTGGGACATCCGTGTTCTTGCTCGTAGGGGCATGGTTTCTTGTCCCAGATACCACGGGTATGACGACTGAGGAAATAGACAAGGCTTATGAATCTGAACTGACGCCCAGGAGGTTCCAAAAGCACGCTGTTACGGCTTACATGGGCCCTGATGGCAAGTCGTTGCGAGATATCTGAGGTAAATTTTGCGCCGAAGTTGTGTGATTTGGAATTCTAGTGATATGGAGACGATTTGACAGGAATGAATGTGCAATGAAATTCGATTACTGCAGAAGGTCTAATATTGCTATTTTAAATAATCTAAACTGTGCTTTCTATGGTATTGTGATGTTCGTTGATCGTCATATTCTTAAATTCTCATTAACTTAATATTACCCTTTCGTTCTTAATGTTTTTCGCAACTCCGAATGGTTGTGGCTTTTGCCCGAGTTGCGTTAGGCTCCTGTGCAGACCACTCGCATGACCTCTCTCATGAGTAGCCGGCTCTTGTGTATTACCCCATTCGGGAGAGCTGGACGGTATTCCTCCTCTTACAGCACACACAGCGGCAAAATCCAGCGTTGGATAGCCGCACCTCTCTGGCCTCTTTACACAGACCCTTGACGTTGCTATAATGATAGCTAATGATATGCACAGTATTATGCCGGCTACTGTGACGAAAAGCCACCTGCTAACAATTCCTGCAACAACCTGATGGCTGAGGATGGAGATGGACAGGGTGGAGTACATGTCCTTTGGTAGACCTTCGCGAGGAGTCTTGAGTTCCCAAATGGACGGACCAGGAGAGAAGTAATTTGCGTGGAAGTAGCTGAATGGAACAGAGAGAGCCTTCCTAACGGCTCTCAATGACTGCTTCTTGGCTACTTCGCTGTCGTTGATCGGTAGCGCTGTGACTGCATAGATGGCTAGTGCCGAGTTGTCGCCCTTTGTAGCTGGGCCGCTCTTGTTAAAGCCTGGGACTACGGCGGATAGCGAGAGCATGTACTCGTCGAGACCGATGATATCCTGCTCTGGTGGTGTCATATCCGAGACGTCGAGGATTGAAAAGTTTCCGCGATCATATGTGACGGTGGCATAACGTGAGTATACATATAGTGATGATGACAGTTCCAAGGGGTTTGTCCAAGCGGTGTTATTGATGCAGGAACTGGTCAGTTGAAGTGCAATCGGGCAGTACGCCGACCCTGGGAGAAAGTCGTCAGCTTCAAAAGTACAAAGCAGTGTGAAAAACCAATCGTTGCTATTCTTACCAAAAAGCAGGCCTTTCTGTTTGCCAACAGCGGCACACCAGTACGAGGCAGCGCTGTCGGCGCCAATGAGGAAGCAAGTTCCATTTGTACGCAGACCATCGAGATCATGTACTCTTCCATATTCCAACTGAACGACTCGAGTGTTGGGGACTACGTAAGCCGCAGAGTCCGGATAGCTCGTGAGGTTGTCTGCTTGAGGCGCAATTGAGACCACACCGCCGGTGAGCAGATGTGATTCATCACACGGGGCCCATCCGCCGTCATTTCCGGTGCACTTTCCCACGCCTTGATGCAAGGGATCCAGGGAGAAAGAGTCTCTGTCAGACCATGCCGGGCTGCCCATCTGAACTAATAAGGCGGTGGCCGTAGACTGACGGATTTCGTAGATGTAAGAGGCGTTGAAGGGGGCAATTCCAGCAGACACGTTGTATGTCTTCTCGGGAAACGTGACCAATTCAATTGAAATAGCACCTGAATTGGCCGTCAATATGAAGCAAAGTTACAGTCATAAATGTGATGATAGCTTACCCATGAGAATAATGCCTGGCAGAGGAATAGAGCAGATAACCAGCAGGCTTTGGAGAGTCAGAACGCGTTCACTTAATCTGTCAGACTAGCAGACTCAAACTTACCGGAATAGACTGGAGTACTTCTGCCTCCACTCAGCAGTCGCCAAGAGTCGAAGCAATCCCCATACTCCCGTACCGGCGTCAAGTCCTACAAAATGCAATAGACTTACGCCACCGGGGCGAGATGCTAATGCCCACTGCAAGTCTTCCACTACGACAACCACAAGGGCAGCCAAGACAAGAGCGCAAAGCTCTGTCATCACGCGAAGGATCAGTATAGAGTTACTAGGCGATGCGACAAAGAAGTTTTGTCTCATCAGAGCCTTCGCCGAACCAGTCGAGTACACGGCCGTCAGCGTCAGCATCAGCACCCCGACAAGCCATAGGCATAATGTCCACCACACGAACGGGCTCGTCTTCTTGTTTCCATCGTGAGATTTGGACGTGAGAGATATCGTATCATTGAATTCATTGCCCTTGTGGCTGTAGGAACAGTCTTCTCTGTCGGGCGTTGGAGGATGAAGAAAGTTTGTCTGGTTGAAGGAAACAGTGGTCTTTAGAGGTGAAGGGTGGGCAGAGGAAGCCTCTTCCACTTTGGCGTATCTCGGCCAGTCGCTATGGTTGTCGCCTGCTAGTTCGATGATGCTCCACCTTCGGTGATCTTCTGTATTTTTGCGGTTCGACCAAATGCCTTGCTGTGAAATATTTCGAGGAGCTCTGGCGTGTTCGTTGAAATCGTCGAGATCGATCGTCTCATGTTGCGGCTGTGGAGAAGCCATCGTCATCGTGGGTTCTCGACAACCCAAAATATGGCCCTTTCTGGCCAAGATGGCCGGAGCGGCAGATGGGGTAAAGAATACTGGAATACACAACGACCTGCGTTTGCGCTAGGTACCTGAAGAAATCAAACGATGAACGAGCGCAGTATGCAGAAAGCGTAGGTATGTGGTCAGAAAAAACGGAAGATGGGTTCTTGTGATTCTGAGAGACGCGGAATTACCTACAATCATTTCTTGTTCGAGAAGGGAACTCCATCCTGCTGGAGAGCTCCTGCAGGGCTGATCGCGATTACCCCAGCCGACGAGTCAGTTGTCAAGCAGTCGGACTAGCCGCGAGTCGTGAACCCTGAACGACCTCTTTAAATGTAGAGAGGCTTGTAGGTAGATCCTAGTTCCGAGAGGGCCTTTCAATCTATCATACTTCTTCCACGCACTCAAAGTTGAGACGATCAAACCCAGGGGAAGGAGCTCCTCAGGATCCGAGTGATGACTGGAACTCGAGAGGAAGAGAAGGGTCGAATACCACGCCTTTGGAATTTCCTATCCTGGCCTTGGGACCTAGAGTTACCGGATGAACTGTGACGTTGACGTGACATTGTAGCAAACCCGCGACAGTGGTCCACGTGGTTGAGTGGAAAACTAGCATCATGGGAGGAAGTGCGAAGCCTCGTGAAAACCGGTAGGATACGGAGGAAGGTCCTTCGCTTCAATGTGCATGCTTGAGCACGTAATTGGTGGTTCAGCCCTAAAGTTCTGAACAAGGTATATCCTGCTGCGCGAGGAACATCGACACATTCGGACTTCCAAAACGTCCGAGCCTGCTTTTCCTAGCTTAGAAGCGTTCTTGTTGTTCTGGACAAATCTAGAGGTACATACAATTGAGAACGGTCATTCTTTCCTGGGTCTCCTAGCGACACTGTTTGTTGTTTTTGCATTGGCAATGGAAATGACCGTGCATGAAAGTAATCCTCTTTACTTGTTGACTTGTCTTGCCGGCGGGCGGAAAGATGACCAAGCCCAACACAACCTTGGGCTCCACTAAGGTACGCTCAAATTCACCCTGGGACTCACTTGGAAGAGCTTTTTGTCTGGCCTCTTGGCGATCAAGACTCTTATTATAAAACATTGACGAACCTCTTAAAAACCAAAAGTTACTATTGCATCCATTTGTAACCTACGGAACTTTGCTATCCAGCTGATGTCAAATGTTTGAGACGGCAAGTTGAAGCTCTCGCCCTACCACGGTGCTAGCGGCTGGCCTCAACCGACCAAAGGAATCGTTGGGGTAGAATGAGTCGGAGATGACCGTGAGGGTCTGTAGCTCCGCCAAGAGAGCTTTACATAGCCATGAGTTTCAGTTTTCGTAAGGGTGCACCATGGATCTGGACGCAGGGCTAGCCCATGAAACGGACAAGGGTAATGCAGGGACTCCAACTTGCCCACTGTCCGTTCGGACTCCAGAGACTCAAGCAGAAGATCACCGTAAGAGACTACTTTGCTAGCATGAATACAGATGACAGGAGAGGTTGTCAAATTGTATCATACAAAGGTAGGTTAGCAAATTAATCGCGAGGTTGGATGTCTTCTATCTTGGTACCACGGAATCTACTTGACATGAATACATCCGGACACTTCGAGTGAAGTGCAGTGATTGATGATGTGTATCAAAAGCCCCAATCTTCCCGAATCAGTCTTGCCCCATTCTCGCCTAGCATGTAAACCGGCCCCGCGATGTTGACGTCCGGAACAGTGGGCATGATGCTGCTGTCAACAACCCGCAGACCCTGAACGCCATAGACGCGCAGACGCGGGTCAACGACGCCGCCGTCCTCCAAGGGCAGCATGCGGTTCGTGCCACTAGCGTGCCAATTGGGGACTGTGGTCTCTTTGACGTACTCAAAGATAGCATCATCATCGTCAGAAGCGATGTTGGCAACGCCTGGCGCCACTTCGCCGTGGTTCGGCCCGACGGTCATGTTGGCGAAGGCCGCGTGGGCAAGAATCTTTCTCGCGTCGCGGAAGGCATTCACCGCTATGGCGCGATCGGCGGGATGTGAGTAGTACTGACAAACAGTTAGCCATTATCACAGGTGAAATACGAGGCAAGGTATCTGCAGCCGATTGAGAGGCTGCGTGAAGGTGGTAGACTTGCGTTGGGGTTGATTATGGGAGCATCCGACATGCCGCTTGACTGAATGGTGATGTTACCCTTGGATAACGCGACCATGCTTGATACTGTGATAGAAATGTACGACCCATCTGCTGAAGGTTCGTACGTCGGGCCTGGGCTGTTAGGGTAGAAGAAAGACTCAAAGAGGAACTCGACCGTTGAGCGGTTGGTGAGACCCGCTTCGGCCACCGCGCCAGCGCCAATTGACTCAAGCTGCTCACTGGAAAGCTCCTGGAAGCCGTTCGTGATGCCTCCAGGGGCCGTATAGACGCCCTTCCCATATGAGTAGTACTCATCTTGCGAGGCTTGAACGTTGGTGGTGTTGAACATGAGGTAGTGGGTGGAGGCTTCAGGAACTACGGTGGCGGAGATGCTATAAACATTGTGATCCATCATGCTGCGAGTTTTCAGATAACAAGACTCTGCTTTGGGGATATTATTTGAATCTTACTGCTGGCCAACGTTTTCGTTGATTACCACTGGCTCTATGTCAAAGGCCTCCAGTGTGGCTTTCGGTCCAATTCCCTTTATCAAGATTAGCCAAGAGCACGACCGGTAGGGCATCACTAGAGAAGTTATCTTACCGAAACCATCAACACCTGGGGAGATTGGAAGGTGCCCAAAGTCACGATAACTTCCTTAGAGGCTGAAATGACACGGTGACGTCCAAGAGAGTGGTCGATGAAAACAACGCCACTTGCTACCGGAGTTCCAGTGGCGTTCTTTGCAAAGGTTATGGACTGAACGGGTGAGTCATGGAGGATCAGTAAGTTTGGGCGAGTGGTAATGGCCTTGTAGTAGTCATAAGCTGAGCTACGTTTGTACTTGGAGTTGATGGTAGCAGAGCCTTGCTTGACGCCCACATTCTTGCCAGTGTTCAAGTCCGCAACAATGGGAATGTTGACAGCTTCGCACGCCTCAATAAAAGCGACACTTGAAGGCGGAACGAACCCCTGAAAACCAATCTCTAACGGGCCATCTGAGTAGGCTGCGGGGTCCCAGGTTTGGTAGCGTTGGTTGTATCCAGTGCCGTTGTTGGGAGGGTTGAAATGAGTAGCCTGCAAGCTAAGTCAGGCGAAAGAAATCATTTGAGCCTAGGGTCCGATTTGAAAAAACCTTTATGAACTCGGGGAACACCTCTTTCCAGCTCCAACCAGGGTTTCCAAGTTCAACCCAGTGATCATAGACATTGGCTGAACCGCGGCCATAGTACAAGCCATTGAGAATGCTGCTACCACCAAGACCACGGCCACCTGAGAGGTTAGGAGCTGGTGGTAGAGGATCACGAAGGGCCTTCGAACTTACGGTGGTAGGCAAGCTTTCGACTACCGAGGTACTCCTGTGGTTCAGTGTAAAAGTTCCAATCGATCGCAGTGCCTTGTTAGGTTGTGAGCACACTGGTCTTGAATAGAGATGACAATAAATACGACACTTACCCGCGATATATTCAACTGCACCGGGTGCCTCATGCATAGCAACGACATGAGGGTCAGGCCCTGCTTCCAGGACCAGTACTCGTTGATCGCCGGACTCGCTTAGACGATCCGCAAGAACAAGACCAGTCGTTCCGCCTTCGCCTTAGATTCAGCCTCTAGACTGATGGAGGATATGGGAAGATTTGACATACCACCGACAATAATGAAGTCATATTCGAGAGCAAGAGCAGATCCGTTGTTTTGGGCTGTCTTCAAGGCAAGAGAGAGCTGAGCAACAGACACGAATGCCACAAAACGATGAAAGCACCGCATTCTGAAGGAATGACAGATGGGAATGAGTGGATGAATCAGTGAGAAAATTGGTCTTGTGAGCTTGTGAATTTCAGTTGGCATATACAAGCATCGAGAAAGGGACATTTATAGAAGAACTCATCTTTAAGCACGTCAAGCTCCATTCTCGACTAAAGTCTCGACTGAATCTTCCAGTCCTCCCTTCTCTCCGACTTTTACACCTCCTTCCAGAAGTAAACGAGGGATTTGAATCCACGCTGACTCAGGAGTGAATGAATCCTGCTGAGTCGGCTTTCGGCTGTGGTCAGGCAGGGGAACTCTAGGTATCCATTCGGGCACAATGTGCGAGGAGTACTCAGAGGCATGTATCACAGTTTGAGAAGAATAGAAAGCCTCCTCCGTGCATCTCGAACACTGTCTTCGGAATTCCGACTACTACTATTGAGAACTCGTAATCTTTAGTCAGCAATACAATCGTACCTTACCCACTCAACTGTTTACATGGTGTGCTTGCCATCTTGTTGAGGGTGACTTAATGCCGACATCCTAACCATCTGCTAACAGAGATAGGGCTCTTGAGGAGAAGGATATTGGCCCAATAAGCAACTCAAATTCATCATGGTCTCAATCTCCTCCAAGGCCATCGCTGATCGCCCCATCTACCATGAGAGGCGCAGCGAAGATGTACTGAGTGTCTCAGCCCGAACTTCGGGGACACCGGATTCAAGATCCTTCCCGTTTGATGCCGTCTCCCCTGCCTTGACGGAGAAGTTGGAAGTACCCTCAGTGACTAATTTGACGTATCGGTCAGTCACTCCATGCATACTACCAGAGTGGGTAGCACGAATTTGGATTTGGATTTCGAATCCCCTGATGTTCCGCTATTTACCGATTGCGGAGAATGATGACAAGAGTCGGGTTGTTCCATGGCTTCATGCTTCTAAAGCCGCGTCGAAAGTCCATTTGTGCCGCAAAAATTCTCACTATCCGACCAGCACGCACGTCGAATGTCAGCATCTGGAACCAATTAGATACCAGGCTTCTGGGGCACGCAACAAGGCGGGCTGAAGGATCTTGGCAAGGATGACATTCTGTAGCTAGGAGGGCAGCTTGCCTAGCCGCGTGGGGCAGAAGTCTTGGGAAAATTCACCCGAGTGGAAATCACCTCGCGAACACCCCGCAGCATGTGCATCTTGGACCGCTTCCGATTCATCGCCTTATAGACGCTAGGTTCGTGATCCCGCGATGTTTACACGCAACAAGGCATGTACAAAACCTCATCCTATTCAGATTCTTCGCTTCCACATTCATGTTAGGCACGACCCCGATTGGACAGAGCATGACGCATCCCAGTCAGCTTTGGGACTTGAATACCCGATCTTGGTCTGAACTCTATCACTTATCACAAGGTACATAGAGGGACTACTAAGCATAATTGAGCTTGCGTAAGGTGCTAGGGCAGGGCGAGTCTATAATCTTATTATCTTCTCCACATTAGTGAGATGTAGATTTCAAGTCACTATGAGGTACTTCTCTCATAACCTTGGGATGATCAAGAAGGTCAAAAAGGAAGCTGCAAATTTCCAAGGTCATTTGTAAATGTGGCGAAGATGTCGTGATGCACTAAAGTCCGTGTCAGCCCGAGATGTGACGGATTGGTGATGACGGAGACAAGTGGGCCAGCCTCGCGTCTCTGTCTCGGCTTCATCGCGGCGGGGGCCAAGTCGGAACGTAAGGTTCGTTTACTGGAAGCCCTGGTAATGTCAGCACATTCACCCTGTCAGATTAAGGCGTCTGCAGTTGACTGGAATTCACCGAAACCGTCTGGTTGGGGCCTAGAAAAATACACCTCGTTAAGGAAAGATTAGTTACGTTACACGGAGTGTGCCACAAAGCCGATATTTACAAAGAAATTATAGACAACAGAGAACTTTCGGAAATTTCCCATTCCCAATCTTCTTCAAGGTCACAGAGTGAAGCGAAGTAACAGAACGTCATCACCTAAATCTTGCAAAAATGGGATCTCGCAGCACAAATGTACATGTAAGGTCTTTTTGTCGTTAGTTTGGTCGCTAGCTGTACTAACCTGTGTCATTAGGAAATCACCACTCTGCTCCTCGACTGCGACAATACCCTCGTCCAGTCCGAGACTCTAGCATTTGAAGCATGCGCTGATCTCACCAACGAGATTCTCGCTGCTCGTAATATCGATCTAAATTTTACAGGCCGCCAGCTACAGCGCGAATTCGTCGGGCAAAGCTTTCCAGCCATGGTGAATAAAATTTGTTTCCCTAAATTTGGAGTTTGAGTAACGGAATCTATAGATGCGCTCGCTGGAGGCCAAATATGGAGTCTCGGCCAACCTCTCCGATTCTGAGTTGGGGCATTATGCCCTCATGGAAGACGACCGTGTCATCTCCAAGCTTGTGGAGAAACTTCAGCCATGTGAGGGAGCCAATGCTGAGCTGGAGCGACTGGCAGCTGCTGGTAATTATCGACTTGCCGTCGTGTCTTCGTCCGCACTGCGTCGCGTGTGTGCGTCGCTGGAGAAGACTGGGCAGGCCAAATTCTTTCATTCCGATGATGTCTTCAGCGCTGCTGACTCGCTGTCTGTCCCTACATCCAAGCCTGACCCGGGCGTGTATCTCCATGCTCTCGAGATTATGGGCAAGGTTTCAGGCGAGTGCATTGCAGTTGAGGACAGTCGATCTGGTGCGACTTCTGCGCATCTGGCAGGTATCATTACGATTGGGTACACCGGTGCTTGCGAGGATGTTAACGAAGCGGAGGCACTGAGAGGGGTGCTGGAGAAGGCCGGATGCAAGCTGATCATGAGCAACTGGGCAGAGTTTCCTAATTTGTTGCATCGTATAGAGAGCGAGTTAATTTGAAGAATAACCAGCCAATTCCATCTAAGGTAGAAAGACAAGACGGTTCCGGAGATAAGTCAACGGCTGTAAGGGAACCTGTCAGCGTGTCATGAATCAAACACTCTTATTCCAGTATCAAATCGAACTCCAAACATGGAGTTCCACAACTTTAATTCCTCATCCATGTCTGATTTGTGACGTATCACAAAGGAGATGTTGCTGCAGGAACATAAGCTACCCACTGTTCAATAAGGAAAGCCGATTTGGAGCGGGTAATTTGCCGTAATATTGCGAGGGAAACATGGAGACAAGTCGATGAATGGAAAAGGCGGTTAAAGTAGCTCCAACTAAAAAAACAAAATCACATTCAGTAAACAAGGAAATCGCTCCCTTGAAGGTGATTACTGCGAGTGTGCGCTGTCAACTACATTGTGGGTATCAAAGTGACTAGATGTTGATCTTTATCCATTTTGTATATGCCCTTCAGATTCGTTCAGTATCGTAGGGTATATATGGCGTTAATTGCTGCCCGCAACTAACGGTGTCGTTTTTGCAACATTCAGCGCTAAAATCTATCTCATTGTTTACCTTCCTCATCTGAGCTTGATTCTCTAAGGTGAATCGGGCTATGTGTGAAGTCCCAAATAAGGTTGGGTGTCTATCTGCGGATACAACTAGGAGGAGCCGGTATCCTTGTTTTGTCTTGGATGACGAGGAAGTAATACCCACAAAAGGCCGAGAACGACACAGGTGGCAAGCACAATTGGTTGAAGGGTTTGCACACCTTTTGCCTGTGCAATAGCGCCAACGGCAAATGGCAAGATAGCTCCGCCTGATCCACCAAAAGCGGCGGCAAACCCAATGGTGCCGACATGAAGTGAGCGAGGCATGACTTTAGTGATGAGAACCACTGCCACCGGATACATTGGACCTACAGTATCACAGTCAGTCCGCAATCTCCTTGTTTTGCAAATGGCTCTGGGACCATTAGGCGTTGACTTACCCATAGCCACACCAATCAGTGCTGCTGCCACTGCGCTCACGACCAGGTTGGGCACCAGCCAGAAGATGAGTTCGAGCGCTATAGTTACACCGAGGTAAAGGAACATGGCCCAGAATTCTCCAAGGCGAATCGTGACCAAAGACAGAAAGAGACGGCCAGCCGTCATGCCACCCCAGAAGCCGGTTGCTACTGCTCCGCCGGTGACCGAGGTGGCGCCGCGGATGCGAGTCATGAAGACAACGATCCATCCGCCGAGAGCAACTACAAAGTTCGAAGTTATGGTCAGTTATGTTTAATGTTGACAACCAAGAAATAGCAAGGAATGACTTAGGGAGAACAGGATCAGAGGACTTACCTTCAGCACCGCAGTACCCGAAGACAAAGAATGCGAAAATCCACGATAGTTTATTCTTCAAAGCTTGACGGGTCCGGCCTGACTTGCCTCCAGACTCGGTGGGGTTCTCGAGTAGGTACACAGCGCCTGTCTGAGTCCAAAATGTAGCAGTCAAAGTAACAAGTTCAACTACCGAGGCCGCCGTCATAACGTAGTAGAACGCAAACCAGCCTGGTTGGCCCTCCGCAGAGAGAGCAGTAGCTATGAGGGGAGCTATGGTGGCCCCAAGAGCGTAGCAGGCCTGCAAAATGCCCGACATTTCATGCGAGTTCGCCATTTGCCCTATGAAGGAACACCAAGCAGCGTCTGCTAAGCCATTTCCCATGCCTACCAGGACAAAAACGGCAACCTACACGTAAAATCCAATCATCAGCTGGCCAATTGACAGTTGCAGAGTACCATTGACTTACGAGAACAGGATAGGGCGGGTGGAACGAGAAAGTTAGATACGGAACCAAATGGCACAAGGGAGCAATACATGCTACACCTCTCTGGCCAAAGTGAACATGCATAAGATTGTTCACTGCAGATGCAATGGCATATCCCACAAAGGGGGAAAGAAAGATCAGGGAAACGACGGTATGGTTCAGATCATAATAAGTTTCCAGCTAAAGCCAGTGTGAGGGAGTTTTGCTTTACTGGGCGAAGGGGTAGATTGTTCTAATTACCAAGGGAACCAAGGCCTAATTTGTGAGTAATTTGATCTTCAGAAAGCCTAGAGATTGGACATGAAAGTCTTGGACTTACACCATAGGAGCCGTCGTTCATTCCTACTACAACAAATGACCAGAATGTTGCAGCGGTTCGATACGCGTTGATAGGGGGTGAGTTCCATCGTTGCACGGCGTGAACGTTGTCGGAAACGGTAGATGGGTTGTCGTTACTCGTTCCATGCTCCCCATTCGAACTTGCCTGACTAGCCTTTTCTTCATCGTGCTGAGGATAGTTCGACACAGGCTGAATCTCAGCCGGTGCACTGACTGGTGCAGCTGCGGTTGCAATGATGCTTGCCATGACGCTATAGAGTTCTGTAGTAGAGACTTTTGTGAGAACAATACTACAGAGATTTTTAAATAAGTGTATGATGAATTTTGCAAACGAGATTGAAAGAAACTGAATGAAAAACGAAACGTGGGAGAAGTGGATAGGTAGCAGCAGCAACGATGAAGGACCTTCTTGGTTGTGCTATCATTCAATTCAGATGGCTATGACGAAGCTTTGTCAGCGTAAATATGATATAAAAAAGGCTAGATGTAACCGCTTGACACGCTTAAGTTCGAGAGGCGTGGTCTACCGAGGAGAACTCGCTCGAAGTCGCCTCGAATGGTCCAGCGGGCAAGGCATACAACAGGGGTTCCTGTGGGGTTGCTCGTATGAGGAACAAGGTCAAGATGTTTGCCTAAATAGGTAAGAGCAAACCAGTCCCAGTTACAAGGTAACGAACGCGATAAGCTTTCGAGGCAGATATGATCCTTGTGCAGGATCTTTTGTAAAGGAATGATCGATGAGATCCACGGTAACCTTGCATGTGTTCATTACATGTACCCGAAGGAGGGTTGTATTCGGATGGCTATGTAGTATTCCTGAATGAAACAAAGATGCAGAGCCTCCTGGGACCTATCTTTCTACAGCGTACTTAGGAATTAGGCTGCTCCTTGCCTGAACATGAATCCTTAATGACTTCGATCCTTCATGTTGCATCTGGCCCGCATGCCTACTATTAGTTCCAGGTACAGTGCGTATAAGTGTGGACCCTGAATGGGAGTTCCGAATCCCAGTTCAGTAAGAATTGTGTCTGTCTGACTGTCATCAAGGACCACCGTTAACGCCGGAGACCCATCCCCGTGGGGGTGGGATGCAAGGTTCACGCCGGGGATCCCGGGACCACCGGGCACTTGGACGTGCCCGAAACTCGCGTCATTAGTGGCTTCTTACTGACCGTGGTGGGATGCCATTCCAAAATTGGTGAGCCGCATACAAGGCGGCTATCATAGCCCTGCTACAATTACTACCATGCTTTTCGGTGTGCGTTGGTTTTGGACTTTGGAAGTACATGAGCCTATCGGCTCCTAGACATTTGATCCACTATAGTACTGCCTTGGCAGTCGATACTGACGTCGCCACCGCATGTGTTACCCACCTCCAGGGTCTATTATGCCTCAACACTACTTAAGCAAGACGCCATGTCTACTTCAACTGTGATGTTAAGCCCTCTAGTGGATCTTGAATTAAAAGTCTCCGAACAGGGCTTTCTACTTGTGAGATGAGCAATTGGGGTGCGTCCAATGCGTCAGCACTATAGTTGTCACGCCTTCCCAAATGGGACTTCAGGATGGCTTACGGAGATTCGCCGCTTTCTCACTTGTTTGCAAAGCTTCCAAGGTTGAGAGGTTCCAGGGTAATTCGTGGCGAATTTCACGAGAGAATATCAATGTGCTCTTCATTTGCACTTGCATCAATAGTGGAGAGTCACGTATACGTACTTACTTGGTCATCTCACACTGGCGCTTAAGGTCAGATCTTGCCTCAACGAAAGTTTGCCAGGTCCTACCAGTGGGATTGAAGACATCTGCCCAGATTATCAGAGTTGTGATTGTTACACAAGTTCGTATAGGCCATAAGCAATTACTCAACAGCGGTGACAGCCTACTTCAGATATGAGAGTTGGAAACGAGGCTTCCATGAAATGACAAATCGATTTCAGATTTTGTGATTGTCAAGCGAGGAGAACTTCTGAGACAATCAGATAGTCACCATCAAAGTACCATTCATGTCTCTAGATGGCTAGTGGAACATGGTTGGATGTAGGGAGCTGCCTAAAATGCAGTACGAAGTTTCATGGAAGATGGAACATCCCCTGCTTGTGTCATTTGAGCCACATACAACTCAAAACGGATTCGGGGCTCGAAGAATTGGATGGCATATCTACCTACCAAAGGAGTCCGGGGTTACTCTAAATATATCGTCTCAAGTACTCACCGCAGACTATTTATTTCACAAGAAATCGCACCTTCGAAGCAGGTGTTTTCTTTCTCCCACCGACCCAGACATTTTAATCTTTCATCTACATCCGTAGAAGCTTTACCTCAATTTATTACCACACCTCCAAAGCTTATCATGGGTTCCCTCGCAGTCGTCGATGATCTGGTTCCCGCAGAAAACTCGCTCTTTTATCAGAGCGTTTACCCTTCCTCAGCTCCAACAGTTGAATCTGCCGATGGACTCTATTTCACCCTGAAGAATGGTCAAAGGATTCTTGACTCCACTGGCGGAGCAGCAGTTTCTGCCATTGGCCATGGAAACGAGCGAGTCAAGAGCGCTATCATCAAGCAGCTCAACAAGTTCACTTATGCTCACCCAGGCTACTTCCAGAATGATCCTTCTCATGAGCTTGCCGACATTCTGGTTAAATCGACCAACGGCCAGATGTCGAGAGCGTGCCTCCTAGGATCTGGTAAGAACAAGACTGTGACAGAGTTCATAAAACTGGAAACTGATACCTTTGGCAGGCTCCGAGGCCGTCGAGGGAGCTATGAAGCTTGCTCGGCAATACTTCCTTGAGAAAGACCCCAAAGCTCCTCGTACCAAATTCATCGCCAGAGAGAGCTCCTGGCACGGATGTACTCTGGGCACTTTGGCCGTTGGCGACTTGAAGGCTCGTAAAGAGCCTTTCATGGACGTCCTGGCTGACAATGTTTCTCACGTGTCTCCTTGCCATCTCTACAGAGAGCTGGAAAGTGGTGAATCGGTTGAGGAGTATGTGGAGCGACTGGCTCTTGAGCTGGAGGGCGAGTTCCAGAGATTGGGCCCCGACAATGTGTGCGCCTTCATCATCGAACCGATGGTTGGCACTGTAAGCTATCCTCAGACTGGTCCGCTTCTCCCTTGTTCTCTGGCTAAATTTTCTAGGCCCTCGGATGCGTTACAGCTTTGCCCGGATATCTGCAGGCCATGAAAGATGTCTGCCATCGTCATGGTGCTCTCATCATCTTCGACGAGGTCATGTGCGGTCTCGGGCGGACCGGCTACATGCACGCTTGGCAACATGACAATGTCGTCCCTGACATTCAGGCTGTGGGCAAGGGCCTCGCAGCTGGGTATGGCACAATCTCCGCCATCCTCATTCACGAACGCGTCATTGAGGGCCTCAAGCAGGGCAGCGCCTCCTTCCAGCACGGACAAACGTACCAATGCCACCCGCTCAACGTTGTCGCTGCCGTCGAGGTGCAGCGAATCATCAAGGAGAAGCACCTTGTTCGCAACGCGCGTCTCATGGGTATTCTTTTTGGGCACCTCCTTCGTCAGGCTTTCAAAAACCACCCTTACGTCGGCGATGTGCGTGGCCGCGGCATGTTTTGGTGCATTGAGTTCGTGGCAGACAAGACTACGAAGGCGCCTCTGGACCCTTCATTGAATCTTGCTCGCCGTATGCGTCTTCGTGGACTTGAGAAGGGATACGATGTGTGCCTTTTTTCCTCCACGGGCTGCGCCGATGGCTGGAACGGAGATCACTTCCTTCTTGCCCCGCCCTTCACTGTCACCCCCACGGATGTGGAGGAGATTGTATACCGCGCCAAGCGCGTCGTGGACAGTGTGTTCGACGAGATGAGAGAAAAAGGGCAGATTTGAGCATGATGGACGATCAAAACTTATCTTTTGTGGTTGTATTGGTCTTTCACTAGTCTCGTATTCCTTTTTCCTTCCTATAGTTTCTCCTGCATTTCATGTCAAGACAGTCCGTCAAGTCACGTCGCATTGAATCGAGTACAGTCCCTACGCACAAGTATACATAGATTAGAATAGAACAGAACGTTGATTGAGCTCTTCAAGTTAAGACGTCCATGACCAGGATGCTACGGATCGGCCATCATTCGGCCTCTTAAGGCTAGCTAGTGTCTGCTGAAGGAGCTACCATTAGCTTGGACCGGGGTCAGTAGGGCTGACCGAGAACACGATCAGCTCACGCCCCGCGCGGGGCTAATCTAGGCCACCCTTGATAGGGATATGGTGCAAGGGGCTGATGCTTAATAAGGAACCGATGCAACCCAGGACAGTTGACAAATAAATAACGGTCAGCTCACTTAACTCCATGCACACCTGGACTCACATTCACCCAAACCACAGAAATTCCTTGCCTTCTTCTTTTACCCAATATGGCATCTCTGGACAATACAACGCGTTTCACCGTTAAGGCAGATCCCGGAACTGATATCTGGAGAAAGCCTGGACACAACGCATGGGATAGTGAGTAAACATACATGTCGCCATGGCCTCTCTTCATCTCTTAGGTCTCAGCCTGCCGTCTAAATCATTCGAAGCCTCTCCGTTGGCTCTTGTTCATATTGTCGCACATTCATTTGTGATCCTTGCGACCTGTGTTGACATTTTATAGTCCCAAACACTCATACCAGCACTGGCCCTCTGAAGAACTTCCTTTCAGTCCGCGTCACTTTCTCGGCTCCCTGGGCCCACTCATACGACCAGTCTGGCGTGCTACTTGTGCCGCGGCTAGCCTCAGAGGCAGCGCCTCCAAATAGTAAATGGATCAAGACCGGGATCGAGCTATACGATGGCCAGCCTCACTTGAGCACAGTCACATGCGACCGGTATGCCGACTGGGGCCTCTATCCCTTAACCCCAGGCGATGACAAGGACGATAAGAGCGTGACGATCGAGGTCTTTCGGGATGGAGGCCCCCAAGGCAAAAATGCTTGGGTACACCACCTGCTGCTGGATAAAGACGGAAACATCGAAAAGAGGATCCCGCTTAGGAAAATTTGTTGGATCTTTGCCGACGAGCACGAGGGTGACTGGGTCTTGGATGTCAGTCCGCTGGCCGCGAGACCGGATAAGGACGCCAAGGATGGGCTGAAAGTCGAGTTTGCCCAGTTCAAGGTGCAGTGGAGTCAGTAGAGTAGACAAATGCCTGATGGGCCATGGCAAGGAGCCGATTTGTTCCCTTGCGAATGACAATCATCATTACAAGGTTGCTTGGTATGTTGGAGACCGGACTGTACTCCATGTATGATGCCACCATCCCCATGGAAATGCGAATCCTCCAGACGTGCTGTGATAAGGACATGACCTCCGCCCGGATGAAGTACTTTCAAGTGACAAAGATGAATGATGTGCTTGTCTTGTGTAGAAATGGGTGGGTAAGATCTGCTATGGTTGCATGCACAATAGACAGCGAGATCTAACGATGTCGCATCCCCCTGTGAAGGTGTGTAAACGCCGTGCCGCATCGGAATAGATGCGGCTGAGACACTGCCGAGGGATCGCTTGTAGACAAGGGATTCCAGTGCAATTGCAAATCTGTAACCGATATACCGGCCGATGCATGCCACTCGCG